TGTCCTTGTGCTTGGGATTGCCGCGTTCCTGTGCATGAGCTGCCCAGCAAGAACTGCTAAGCACGTGGATAGAGCACTGAGGCAGTACCTCAGCCACCTTTTGGTAATGCTGTTTCTCTACATCCTTTTTGCTTCTAATATGTACATGGCAAAGGAAATAAGGACTTTCTTGGTTCTCCACTCTGGGAATATCCAATTTTGTGCCAACCCTCTTAAGCCTACGAACTGTAAATAATTTATTACTCACACAAAAGGGCAAAAGTGCTTCCAAATCCTATTAACTTGATGTTTCTTAAACCCTTTTTTAATCCTGTTTTATGGAAAGGAAATATTAAAGCTATATTTGTATTTAGCCCTACATAAGTGAAATATCTTTCAGAGTAAAGATAGATTGAATACTTCTACAATTTTAATTTCCCATGGGATTTGAGTTTCCTCTTTTCAATTTCTTATTAACACATCAGTCACAGAGGTCCCAACTTAAAGACCTTGAGTGTAAGGTATATTTAGATTCCCTGCCCTAGATCTACCAGTTATGATACAAACTATTTTTTGGTTTTTGTAGTCAAGATATTCTCACCAACCACAACAGTTTTCTTTCAAAATAATTATAAGAAATTAAGAAATGGGCAAAGCATGACTAGGGAGTACCCTGAGGTTAACACAAGACCCTTCTGTCTCTGAAACACTTTTCTCTTGAGTGAAAGTTTTGAGATAAGCTCAGAGTGACTTTAGGAAGTCTGAAATGGGTCTGGGAATTCCAGCAAGATGTGATCTCTCATGAAACTTTCAAGTTGTCCCTAAGTTTGACCATGCAAATAACACAGTTAACGCTTCTCTCCTAATCATTTGGGGTTTTGTCTGGAGCAAGAATTTCAAAGGATCAAGAAAATTAATAGGAGGTCATGGGAAACAACCACTAAAGAAATAGTTAACAGATCTCTTTGTTTAAAGGTTGCGTGTTGAGTTATAGGTTACCTTAGTTTGTTTTTAGTAGAAACGTGATTGCAATCAGAAGTCAAATAAATTCTCTACCACATCACTAAGACTGACAATTTCTTTTCCAAAGAAATCCGTTTCTGAGATATCTGAAGTGCTGCAGCAGCAACACAAGGCCTCTCAAGGTAAGATGCTAGAAGATTTTCAAATGACAACTGAGAGGAGCTGTTTGGAGACTGCCTCCCTTCAGCTGCGAAATCTGCAGAGCAGAAACAACAGAAGAGACGGATGGATGGAGACAGACACCTTTCCTTCCAGAGAAAACTTGTAGTCTTGCTTTCTGAGCACTGGGAGAAGTTCTACAAAGAGCTAGCTGTTTGCTCAGCTCCCCTAACCTTACCATCTGAAACATTTCATCTAACTCACCCGCTGCCCCCTCAGCAGGATGTTTCATTACACCCATCCCTGGATGGGCACCACCTTCCCATCTCGTAGTGCCCATTTCTCTAGACTGGCTGCAGAGAAAACCTAAACTACTCGCACAAACGAGACTCCTATATAGTACAATTCAGCAGACAGGATGCCACCCTCGGACGCATCCTCATCCTCTTCCTGTTTAACTGCCCTAAAATACTGGAACAAAAACGCTTAGGCAATTTCACACTGACAGCTCTCCGTGCAAGCGGTTAGCACGGTGGTGTGCTAAGAACAGGAGAAATAGCTGCATGAGCACGTGGAAAGGCGAATGTCCAAACGGCATCCCTTCTACTGAGCTGTAATCAGCCTTGAGAAACTGAGACCATCACGCCTAGGCAGATGTATACAGAATGATGCTTTAAATTAGAGTAATTAACTGGCACAGAAGATCACATATTCAGCTGGTTCAAAGTGGCGAAGCTTTATTCACTTCAGTGCCAGCTGGGTAGGCGCACAAAGTTTTTAGTGAAGTTAAGGCAGTGTGATTTCCAGGCTACAAGAATGCTTCACAAATCTCTCTTATCTGTGGGTTTGATGCTTCACTGCTTTCAGCAGCATTAGGAAGGTGGCCTCTCTGGTCCACTTCTGAGGCAATTCCTGCAAACTCTATCCAGATTCAGTGACAAAGCTTTGAGAGCCATCAGTGCCCAGTGACACAAACTGCAAATTTCCAAGTAAGAGTTACAGATCTATGCAAGCCTTCTTGTAATATCCCTCTTTCTTAAGGGGTAAGTAAGCAAGCCCTTTGTTTCCTTACATACCATCCATCTTTGAAACACACTATCTAGTAGCAGTGGTTCCTTAGGACACAGCATACAGTAAGAAAAATACAACCAGAAAAGCCTGGAACAGTTAGAAATAACATCCGTGGTTTAAAGAGCATTAAACATGAGATTAGGGTTAATCTCTGGCAGGACACTTACATAAATGCAGCTGAATGTAAAATTGTTTCGTCCCAAGGCAGGAAAAAGGAGTTCAAACCAATGAAGTACACGAGGGAAAATAAAGCAGAGTTTAAATATTGCTGAAAATCATATATGCACGCCCTAGGGTGGATAAGACACTGGAGTTTGAAGAAAACATTCACGTTAAGTAAGCTTACTTCTGGTAAAGCCTAAAGAAGCACATCCCATAATGTCATGATTCTTGAAAGCTTCTGTCTCCTTCAGATAGCATTCGTCAGTGCAGCTTCCCATTCCATTCAATACTTCCAATTACAGTTTCCCACCCTGGCTGAGTAATTGCCTTTTGATTATTTCTTAAGGTGTTCTGAACACACCAAAGACCATTAGATATTCCTATGGAAAATGGAGAATTGACTCAAGGTACTGTGATTACGCCCTGAGCTTACACCCTTACACCTGCTTTTAGAAACTGAAGAGTTCTGTTGCTGGATTTTATTAAAATAGAGAAAAACTTAAGTTGTCTTGGAGCAATTGTGTTCCAGAGGTGGGCTTCTTGCCCTCGGTACTGCTGAAAACCCTCTACAAGTGTCAGACTGGCACTTACTGAAGGAGGTTACTTTGCTGATTTTATTGGACCAAAACTGCCCAGCTAGAAGTGAAAAGAAAGGTGAACATCCTCCATTTTTCACTCTGCCACCCAGTTTCTGCCAAGCTAATAATATGCTTTTGTACAGCTTGAGTGTCTTGGGCTGTTTTTGTTTGCTGGTATGTTTGTTTCAAGACACAGAACAGGATTGAGCCCGAAGATAAATTAAAAGCAACAAATAATAACAACAAAAAGCTGCCTGTGTTCTTGGGTTTCCCCACACTAACTTGAAGGCCCTGGGGAAGGTGAAACCAACAGCTGTCCTGGCTGCAGTACAGTTAGAATCTCCTCCGAAGCCAGCTGCATGCGTGGAGAGTGAGAATCTACTAGAAATACCCGGGGCTGGTAGCACTGACAGCTTAAGGGGATAAAATTAAGGGGGCATTTGGCAGCAGTCACAGACCTCTTCAGTAACTGCGAGTTTTTACATAAAAAGCTACAGGCTAAGAGCAGTCGGAGTAGGTAACGAGCACCTTTTTCCCCTCTGTAATTCCCACAATTCTGTCTGTGATAACTGGCGGTAAGCCGCATCCTCAGTGGAGTTGGGCTGTGTAGTCATGGTACGATGCAACGGACAGTGTGACAAGAATACAGACCCTGTGATCCACATGTGAAGACCCTATCGCAGTCACTGCCTGTCTTACCACAAACACACGTAAATCTGTTGGCTCTTTAGACACCTGGTTTGCTCAGAAGTTGCTTTATGTGCCGTACAACCCTCTCATATGGATACAAACCTCGTCAGGAAGTCAGGCTTCATGCAGCAGTCTTATATGGAATAAAGTGCTGCTTTTCATACGTACCTACAGATGCTGGCATTTCTCCCCACTGTAAAACAGTCTCCTTTGTGAAATGCCCATATATATCGATGTAGATGCCTTCATCTTCGTAGGTGAGTAGAAGCTCCATTCCGCTGGTATTTGGGAGGATGATGATGGCATGTGGACGAATAGTCCCCTGGATCTAGAATCATATTTTACCAAGATTTACATCAGAAAACGGACAGCAATTTAGTGACTACATCCATTAAGCTACCTAACTATTGTTCTGCCAAGAGCAATAAAAGGAACTAGCTCATGGCTCATGGAAAGTGAAAGAAATGCCTGTTTTGAGAAAGGCTGGATAGTGTGCTAGCTAGCCTCGGAAACGGGCCTTCTCCCCTCCTCCCCCCTTCGAATGCGACGGTAGGTTTGCAATCAAATCAATGTTCAATATTTTACTTTGTAGTTACCAGCATTAATTGGTTTCAAGAAGCAATGGAGCCACGGAGACACAATAATATTTACTTACTCACTCACAAAACACTTGCATTATGTAAATCAAAGAAAGGTGAAGTAAATTTGGATTCACAATTATTTCAGAAGATGGAGGAAGAACAAAAGCTTCCACATTCCAGGGAATCAGTGCTTTCACTTTCCATGATATCTCCCTTTCCCCAGCCACAAGCTAAAACCTGTAACTTTAACCATATTTACAGCAACTTGAAAAGTCACCTGGACCTTTCAAATACGAGCCACTCTGTCCTTCCCTTCCCACATCCTTCACTAAAAACAACTCCCCGTTTAAATGCTGTTGGGCACACGTTTTCTGCGTGCCACAGGAGCAGTGCGGTTCACTCACACAAACTATTTAACAGCTGCTCAAAGCACGAGAATCTCTCCCCGAAAGCCAACGTGTCCCACGTGGAAAAAAACCCAAAAGGTCTCAGTATACAACCATGAAGGTGGGGTTTTACGAAATTTGAAAGACAAAGAGGACAGCCTTAAAAAACAGTAACAAAGCATTTCCTTGTTTACAGCGCCACTCAAAACAGGATGTTAAACAGCAAATGAAACCACTACAATTAGTATTTTCATAGGAAGCATATGACTGGAGGATCTACATCATTTTCACAAGCCAGCAACACACAGATCTCATTTCCTTCAAGCACATACATTTATGCACACCGTAAGGGCACAACGAACAGTAAAAGAAGCACTGAAGCTGTACTTGCCAAACTGAATACACTCAGGCCAACCACTTGACTCCGTGCCTCCGCAACAACTATCCGTAACACTAGAACGGGTATCCAGAGCCGCAGAGCAATTTTAATGCGTTGCCTTGGTACTCGCATGAGCGATCGAAGCAGGTAAGAGATGAAGAGAGAGGTGGGGAACCAGGAAAAGAGGCTACCAGAAAGCAAGAGTATCTAAAGTCAGCCTGTTAAAATCTGGTCTGTTGCCACCACGAAGCTCCTCCAGAGAATTATCCAATTCTAGCAGATGCTCTTTACAATAATAAAATACCGAAAAAGACAGAGCCACTGTAGCAGCAGATTTATTTCAGGTCCAAGACTCTAAAGGGAAAATATATTTTTAGTACATGCTGACTTCTGGTTGAAGAGCACACACAAGGGGAGTCAACTCTTAAAGGTGCCCCACATATTCAGGACAGTCACCTGGGAAATCTCTCTCATCAGGTACATAATTATATTTGTAGCCTGTTGAAAAACTAACGCCTCCAGGAAGGTTCACTTTTTTCTTTGCCTTGATCATCTTGGGCAATTATGCTAATGATCTTTTTGACAAGTCATTATTCACCTTGCTTAGCAACCCGCTTCCAGGGATGGTATGCAGGCACCATGCTTAGATTTATAAACTGACGTGAATGTTTCAGAGTTGCATAGTTAACAAAGTTACTAACTGCCAGATTAAATAAACCCTCTAGCAAAACAAACAGTAAATCCCTTATAAAAAACCCAACACAGAAACAGACAGTATAAGCTTTCAGCAGGTGATTCAACAGTTTTTTCTGAACAGCTAAAAAAGTTACTTTTTAATTAAGAAAGTTTTCTAAACAGCCACCCTCAAACACTGCATCCACCAGGAACACAGGTCTGACAGGATCTGGAGGCTGCCACTTGTCCAGGCAGCGGAGTGATCAAGCGGCTTGCACGGGGGGTGTGGGACTTCGTTTGCTTTGAAAGCGTGGGGCTCAGCATGGAGAAATACAAGTTAAAACATAAAAGGGTTCAAGGGACAGGCTGCAACATGCAGATCTGAGTTCTTCAGACCTCGGAGCATGACTCTGGGACAAGAGGAGGCCATGGCACTGTGATGAGCCAACCCTGTGAAGCTCTGCTGACTTCAGGGAGGTTTCAAGCGTGCACGGAAGTTTCCCTGCCCGGAGCCTCCCATCAGACGGAGCCATGGGGACCTGCCAGTTTTCTGGACCTAAGCCCCCAAGCTTCTCTGGCTTATGGGACTCACAGCTTTGAAAATAACTCTCTAGAACAGCTAAAAAAAATAAGCCAACAAACAAACAAAAAGATTAAAAGCCAGTCATTCGCTTCTGCAAGGGAATTACTTTACTGTTATCTGAGTTTAAGCAGGGATTTAGTGATCACCGTCACCTCAACGAAGAGATGCACAATGCAATGTGTACACCCCAACTTGAAATAGACACCTTCGTGCCAACCTCTTGGCAATCTAATGAGAAAATGAACACATTTATTTAGTCTGGAAGTTGGGTTTCTGCAAAGTCATGACTGAAAGGCAAATCACGTTTTTCTCACTAAGCCTGGATCTGCAGTCACGTGAAACAAAGGCAACTTGGCTCCACGGTGAAGAAACCGGGATTATTGACGGGTGCACACGCATACCTGGCTCCTCTAGCTACAGGTACTCACTGGTGCAGTGGATCAAGATTGAAACCATGTGGCAACAGTGTTTGTACTCCAGGCCAAATTTCAGCTCAATTCAGTGATAATTTAATCAGCTTGTTAGCCAGATTGAAAAGCACAGTGGCAGATTGTAAAAGTCACCTAAATTCATGTAGATATTATTGTGTCTTTGATTGCTTAAAAACTCCTAAATTCCCAGGATAAATCAATTAAATATAATACTGTCCATACAATAGGCTTTCTGATGTTAAACCATTAAAATTAATATTCTGATTCTGATAAAAGCCTTTAACATAACTTCAGTGCTATAAAAGTATGCAAAAAGTGGTTTTCTATTAGCTGTCATACAGTAATTATTCTCTTACCCTCTCTTTTGAAATACAGCACAACTCTTAAACTGATCATCATCTACAAACAGCCCAAAGAGGCATTTACGTAATTTCTTGGAGTATCTTACGTGTGTCGGAAGGTACAGGTCATACACAGATCCAGAGTCCACATCAATAGCGTGAAAGCCCACTAGTGAGCCGTATATGACTTTTAATCTTTGTCCATTTTCAACAGTCAGGTCAACTGACAGTGGTTTGTGATGAAGTGAGGTAAAGGACTGGAAAAAGAAAAAGACGCTATGTAACACAATAAAGCTGCTGGTTTACACATCTCTAGACATGATCTCCAGAATTTTCAAAGCTCAGAGGTTAGACAGCTATTTCTGTTAAGTCAAATGTTACATTTAAGGAGCTAAATATCCATCATCCACTGAGCTACAAGGAGAGCTGGTTCATTCACTTGTGCTTTGAAAAAAACCCACCAGATTCTAGAAAAGGCCTAGGCAAAAATCAGGCTGAGTACCATTCGTGCTCAATTTCCTCCTCTTTTAAAGGAAATCAGCATCAAACTTTGTAAACTTCAAGTGTACATTTTGTCACAGCACTGAAACAAGTTATTCCAACTAACACAATCGTGACTGCGACAGTTTTACACCTGCCATCTCCAAGGTATGTCAAATGAGCAATGTTTTCTTTAGAAGACTTACATTTTACCTTTCACTAGAAATAAATGTTATACAAAGCAACAGAAAGCAACGAGTAGATGAGAGACGGGGAGAGACAGTGATATATCTGAACCAAAGTGGAGCTTCACCTACCTTAAAAGCCATGAATTTGTGATAAGGCTTTGGAGCCCAAGCATAAACCTCCACTGAGTTTTTCAAAGCAATTACAAGGAATTTGATTCTCTCGTATTTTACTGTAATACAAGAAGAACAATTCCTTAGGTACCACACAGACACTTAAATAAAAGACCACCTCATCACATGAAATAATTTCAGTGGACTACTTGTAGAGCTAGACATTATCCATCAAGGGAGACTAATGGATTCTGGACATCAGTGTTTAATATCACCAGTGACAACACCATGACTGAAAACCTATAGTTCAGCTACTCTCAGTAAAGCCAGATGACTGTTAACAACATCTATATATTGCTTTTCATATATCTAGGAAAAAACCCCAAGAAAACCTTACTAGTCAGAAAAAAAGGTCTTGACCCTGCAGCAAAGCCAGCCTACTTCATTTTTGAAGTGTGAACACACCCCAGGAGGGACGGTGGTTTTACTGTTCCTGTGTGGGGTTAAATCTCCACGTGCTCACGTGGGCGAAGGACTCCCATGTTTCTGAGATGAGTAAGCATGTAAGAGATGAGCAATTCCTCTAACTCGTTTAATGTCACGTTGTGCCCATCGAGAATAAATGAAGAATCGTGCGTTGAATATTAAGGCTTCTTTGTACGTTGTGTTTTGTCTCTGCCGGAGACAAGCATTTGCTTTGGAAACGGAGCACTAGGGTATTGTATCCCAATACAGTCACCCTTCATTCTGCATTCAGTGTTTGCTTGGCAGGGATTTTTAGAAGATGCAGGGGTTACGCTGCTGAAGAAAGGTTTGTTTTCTGTGGGAGACAGGCTCGATCAGCCCTCGCTCCTTATAGAAGGAGCAGTTCACACTGCACATAGAGCAGAGGCCTGAGGAGTGGATGGATGGACAGTGGTCAGCAAAGTTGCACATAGGCGGAGAAAGGAAAAAATAAACCCAAACTCCACAAAAACCCAGAACAGCACATCCTCTTCCTCTTCTACCTGGACAAATGGCTGTAAAACCAAAGGTCAAGATACAAGAAGATTCACCAAGAGAAAAACAACAGCAGCTGTTTTGTCAAAGGAATAAGAGCGGCTTGTCATACGTAAACACAGAAGCTCCTACCAAATGCTTGCCTAATTTTAAGACAGCAATTTTTTAAAAAAAACCCCAACACCACCAAACCCAAAGATGAGCAAGTGCAGCGGAATACGTGGGTGCTTTGCTATAGTCACAGAGGAAGTCACAACACATATCTGTTTCACATTCCTTCGGGGATTTAACCCTTGCCACTATTAAAGCTGAGAGATATAAAAGCAAAAAAAAGTCAAGTACGGCATTTATGAGAGCCAGCCACCTCACTCCCCTGTATCATTTCTCCGTTTGACTTTGAAAGTGCCACTTTCATATACCATCAAAGCAAAACTTACGCGATACATCACACCCCCTCACGCAGCTAAATGACAGAAACTATCACAATGCTGATGTTCATCTTCAAGAACAAACTGCCTGAAAGCCAAATAAAAGCAAGCTGGTTTTTCAGCTGCTACAGTGCCATTTCCAGTGTGAAGTCTAAACAAAGGTATATTTAGGTCTTTTATGATCTGGAGACAGGGATGAGCTGTAGAACATCCAATCTGATACCTATGGACATCCTACAAATACGATTTACTAGCACTTTAGTAGACCAGTTTCTTAGCACTTTCAGGGTCAGGAGGGAAGCTGAATAGCATGGAGGTGGAAAACATCAGTCTAATTAAAACCTTAAATAACTACAGAACTTCTAAACCACTGACTGAGCAACAGACCAGGGCTGACACTCCCTTCTTGAGGCCATCATGGGAATACCCATAACATCATCCAGTAACTGCTGCAGGAAGAGACGCTACCTGGAATGAACGGGAGCAGAGAACTCAAGGATACTAAGCCCAGTACAATCCTGAAACGGAGCTGAAGAAAAATGCTGCTGTCACAAGATACAAAAGGAGGCTTAAAGCAGCTCTCCCAAGGAAAAACCAAAAGTCCTTACCAACTTTGTAGTGTACGCAGCCTTCTAGGTCACCCACAGACACCCAGCCTTGCCGCTTCTCCACCTCTGGATCATTGCGCAAAATTTTATTTCTCAGCCATGATAAGTAATATACCCTCAACTTATTCTTCTTCCCTAGGATTTGCAAAAAAAGACAGACATAAAGCTTCAACTCACTGAAGAAAACTCTCCCACACTTAGAAACAGAGTTTTGTGACCTTGAATACAGCAGGTCCTTGTGCCTCATCAAGGTGAGAGAAGAGCCCCGCGGCACAAAAGAAAAGTCTTGTGCAATGGTGACGTGCTGGACGAGGGAACTGGAACAGGAGCAATCCTATGGCATGTGGCACATGTGCACTTACCTGGTGACTCAAGTTTCAGATTTTCACACCTGACTAAAATTCTTCCCTCAGGCCAAAGAACAGGTCTCTACAGACACATGTATTATCAGAAATAATCATAATATCTGGCATTTAATCCTTGACGTGAAGGAAGGAACGCAGGTATGGCCTACAATGGCCATTTGGAACAAGTGACTCGTTTAGTTCTAATTAACTGACAATCTTCACGACGAATTTTCATCTGGATGCCTTTCCAGGTGAGAATTACTTTGTCATCTTTCATCTCAGTCATTCTGTTGCTTCAGTTCGTAAGTACATACACGCAACAGCAGTCTGGGATCAAAGATTTGTCCAAAGAGAAGGACCGTGTCACAGACCTGGCAACGTGGGACAAAGAGCTCTCACCACTGCCTACCACAGCGAGCTTGGTAGGACCTACATCTCTGACCTGGTCATGTACTGAGCATCCTTTGAGGCCACTCATCCCTGGGGAATAAGGGCCTCGGTACCTTGCGGGGCAGGGTCCCAGCTGTGTGGCAGCAGAGGCTGAAGACGCTACCCCATGTAATGTTACTGATGCTTTCACAGTATAGATGGCTCTCGTGTTACTGCTCATACATCTTGTGGAGCACAGAATGAGGTTATTTAATGATATTTTAATAGAATTGCACTCAGACAGATGCTCACCCATCACAGAAACAAGCAAACAGACTGACAAACTAAAACTTGCTGAAAACCAGTTCTTTTTAAGGATATGAAACACTTGGTACTTCCCACAAACCATTTTACACATTAACCAGGTAACGAAATATCCCAAAGCCTCTCTGAAATTAGAACATAAATGTTAAAAATTCAAGAGAGTTTTCCTATTAAAAAGAACAACTGTCCTGTGATTTTCTGTAAGAGGAAATTCCTCAACCTAGTTTATAACCTCATTCTTTTTAATTGCTTCCAACCCCAGTGAAGGTCACACACTGAACTAACCTGATATAGTAATTAGCACATTGAGTCCTTCCAGAACATCCATTTGCTGGAATCGTCTCCTTGTAATCAGCGAATAAACTCTTCCTTGCCCACTTCTGTCCAGCAGCCACAATCCATTCTCTGTTCCCACCAGTAAATTTACTCCTGTTGATACACGGGAAAAAAGTACTGCATAAATCCCCTAATGACTCAGAGGCCACTAAGTGTTCATTGTTTTGAGAACTGATTCTTATTTAGTCTTGTTTAACAGTACCTGGTATTTTCTCTGTTGCTCTGTGGATGATCTCCCAGAAAAATTTAAAAAGAAACCAGTTTTTTTTACCCAGAACACTTACACGCAATTCAAAGGACAGAATCATAGAATCATAGATGAAGAGTTCCACTAAAATCAATGTTGATTTAAACAAAAAGGAAAATGCTTTGTGAACTCAAACTTCTCAGGTGACCTTGGAATGTGCCTGTAAGCACGGCAAAAGCCCCAGCCCAGCACCACCCCACAGGCAACACAGGAGATTCAACTAAGAGATCAAAGGTCTCTACCAATAAAAATATTAAAAAATCCCTCTTTCTCCAAATACAACAGTCAAACCACATGAGGAACAAACTTGTGGGAAGAAGGGCTGCTGTTACGAGGAAGCAGAGGGTTCATTTGGAAACAGTCTGTGTTTTGCAAGAATGCTTTCAAATGCCAAATTAAAGGAGTGAATCCGTCTGAAATCCAACTGCTCCCAAGAAAGCGAAGGCTCCAGTGGGTTGCTGACATCAGAGGATGTCAAAACTTGTGTTCAGCTGGCATGACAGCTACGTTTCCTAACCAGCAGGTTCTAGAGAACGACATGAGTTATCCTGCCACAACAAGCGATCTCCTCTACCGGCAATGCTCTGACGGGTACCTGGCGCTCTTCAGCCTCAACACACATGTAATTACAGACCTTGCCACACAGCTCTGTTCTTAATTTAAAATCTTGGACTCCTACAAACATACATTACACACAATCTGTGAAGCTGTAAACTGGAAATCTACATTTCCTTCAGATAATGTCTCATCTGCTTAATTCATTTCCCATTCCAGGCTCAGAAAGTGAGGAGCAGTAAAAGGCTGGGTGAGTCGCACAGAATTTGTCTGTTCTTCTGAAGCAGAAAGATGATTAAATCAACTCAAGAGAGTGAGAATGGGACAAGGTCTACAGTTGTTGAAAACTGGTCTGACTATATTCAAGGTGGTTTCACACCACGTGAAGCTGACCCTGTTAAAAAAGGGTGATCCAGTGAGGTTCTGAGCAAGCACTGACAGCAGGAACTAAGGAAGACAAGCTTTTGGAAAGCCTGATGCCTGACCTGCTTCAGATTTTTGGAAAACCTAACATGCATGACAGCAAAAGCCTTCAGGTTTGGATTATTTCCACTGGGTCAGGGCTTAGTGTGATCAGCTCTACCCACACGTGGCTAAGACAAGAGTATCATACGCCGCATATGCTACTACAACATTTGCAACTTCTGGCTCTTGCAACGAGCGCAGTTTCAGTTTGGTGCCCGATCAAAACATTATCTCATTCTGATGCACAAAATCCTCAGCAACTGTAAGTCATCTGTTTGCCATCTTCTACCAGGAAGGCAGCATCATGCGAGTGACGCAGGTACCCACTCAGCGATCCACTCCAGGAATTTCTGACGGGAGAGGTGCAATACAACTGTGAAATCTGCCTGGCATACACCGCCAGCCTCTCCTGCTGCTGCCTCCCCTCCATACACATGCCCAAGTACTCCTGAGCTTACCCCACAAAGCAGCACAAAGGACCTCTGAGTTGAATTTCTTCTTGTATTTACGAATTTCTGGACTGTCACTCTGTGGGCGGATATTCGTAGGGTTGACATTGACAACGGAGCCTTTCCGTGCATTTTCCCTCCTGACAGGCTCAGGTTTTGCACTAGATGCTAGAATGAGACACATACACAGTCATGAAAAATGTGTTTGGCTAGATCTCAATCTGACCTGTTTACGGCAGAATGAAAGAAATCCCAGAAAGGTGAGAAAACACCTCATAAGCACTGCATAGTCAGAGGAAAACACACATCTGGAAAATTCCTCAGGCATTCCTGAGTAAGCAGTGTGGTAACACAACAGCAGAGTAGAGCAAGGCACATCTGGAAGAAAGGCAGAAGCTGTACAATGAAGACACATAGCAATGTGGAGTGTCAGTTTCCGGAGAAGTTACGGACAGTTTCCATCTCCAAGCAATAGGCCTTCCCTACTCCCAGAAAAAAAAGAAACCAGGAGTGACAATTCATGAGCAGGGTAAAGCATACTCACGAGAACTACAGGAAGGTCCTACTGGACTGGTGGGAGGGGTGATGGGCAGAAGCCTAGGATCTATGAATGACGTAAACGATGTTGTAGATGACGTGCTGCTCTTCGAAGGTGGGCTTTCAGCGCACGGAGCCTACGATGAAAAACAAAAGCCGCTTCAGCAGGGCCATGCTAGGGGCGCAGGCGCCACGCAGCAACGTGGTGCCACTGAGGTTCGAGGAAATGGCACGTGGCGTACTTAGACATGGTGAATAGTCTTAAAATAGTAGATACATGGTAAAAATCCAGTGGCAGAAGGGGAAGCCTGAGCAGGGAGTTGTGTCAGGGTGCTTAGCCAGGCACTGCAATAACCAGCCCACAGAAGAGAAGCCTGTTGATCGCTCCCTGTTCTCTCACCTGTGTTGCTGACATGAGCAGAGAGCACAAGCTCTTCTAGCTTGTGTAAAAGGGGAGGGGGAAAAAAAGGAAGGAAAGAAATGGGATCTCAGAGAATTTGGGACAAACAGGTGAAACGATAAAATCCATTAGGGAGCTCAAGATTTCTAGATAAAACTTGTAAAGAAAAGAAGGGATGCGGCGAAAAAATCTCACCATAAAAAGAGACAGGAGAGATGCAGTTAAAAGGCTCTCCATCTCATGCTCCTAAGGACTGGGGGAAAACGACAGCACAATTCGTTCAATCTGTAATTTATCTCTTACCTTACTCAGAGGTCTGTTCTGAGGTTCCTGGTTAGTCAGTGGCACTTTTGGTGGGTTCACAGAGGAGTCTGAAATTTGGCTTTGTTGAAGGAGATCTGGCAGGAGATAGTTCTGGTTGTTTACACTCCAGAGGCCTTCTTGGGTGCTAGATATCTGTTTCCCTAAAACCTGATCCTGCACATGAGAACATACAGTTAAAACTCCATGTTCAGCATACTTCCAATGCACTGTGCAATCACTGTTAATTAGGACTGTAAATAACGAGCATATGGGGAGGGTGCTCTGTGTGATGCATCATGTAAAGTCAAACCCTATGGAAGAGTTAAAATAAAAAAAAAAACATATAAAAGTGTGTGGCAAACACCTGAGACATCAACACTGGCTTCCACCTCTGAAGCGCTCCACCAATGTTCCTCATCTACGTTCCCTGAGCCACAGGTAAAGAAACAACTTCATCCTCAGAGACACTTGAGACAGAATTCAAATAACTTGTCCTAACGCTACAGATCTGACCTCTACCCACCACAGTCAGAAGCAGGTACTCCTCAGTTCTGGACCTGCATTTAGTTCCAAGCCTCTTTCCATTCATTTCATTGCTACTTCCCATGTACTGAGTCGGGAAACACGATTCTAGAGTGATGACATGCAGTAGGATCCAGTGTCAGCAATTCCAGTGCAGTGATGTTTGGCACTGCAGACCTCTGTATGGGATCCCACCCGCTCCGAGGAAATACTCATAAACCATGTAAGGTGTGAGGCACCACACAAGTTCTCTCCCCGACAGCACAAAACAGAGTCAGAGCTCTGTTTCTGGGAATACATGGCTAGAAGCTTTGAGAGGAAGAAAAACGGGATGTGTAAAGCAAGCAGTGTCCCAGATAGGGAGGGCAGTGCGGAGGGATCTACCCCTGGCCGCGATCAGTCATGGTACCTGAACATCGGCACTGGAATGTAGAGAGGGACAGGAGCCAAGTGCTACACTAGAAAATTCCTCCTGCACATACACTGAAGCAAAAAGCACCAACACACTCGAGCAGCTTCTGGCTGGCTGAGTTCAAGGCAAGTCTGTACATTGTACTGACTCTGCTAACAACCTCGGAAATGAGATCAGCTTTTTTGAGTGCTGGCCAAAATATATTTTTTTTTAAAAAGTAGATAATTCTAAATAAAAGACATTTGCCTTTTAAAAGACAAGTAATTAGAGAATCAATTTGATTTCTAGTTAAGTATTTCACATTTTAATTTAGATATAAAAAACCAAGCCAAAACATACATGTCGGTATTTGAGACTAAGGAATCAAGCCAGTACAGGGCCTTTTTGTTCAGTTTTGAATCAGATTCAGCTGAACTGAACCAAACCAAACCCCCATTTGAATCATTTGGGCAGTTTGGTACACCTTAACCACTGCAACCCAGTTCATACTGATGGGCCAGGGAAAGGCATATTGGAAGAAGTCGTGGAGACTCACGATAGCTGTGGTTGGTGAAACAGAGGTGGGAGGAACGGACAGGATTCTCCACGAGAAGCAGGGAGAAGACTGGAAGGCAGAGAGTTTTGTGAGGAGAGGTGGCAGTCATCTGTCTGTTCTCCCTCCCGATTGTCCCCCCCCAAACCCACCAGAAAAGGTGACCTCCACCATTTTCCATCCTCCCTCATCCTCAGTCTGGGCCTCAAAGACCCCATTCTTTTCCTCAAGCAGCCTATTTCCAATGCACGGTATCAGGGAAAAGGGAAAGCACTGGGCTGGTCTTGCCACAAGAAAAACACTGGTTTTGCCCCATTTATAATTCCTTCTCCGAAGCAGGGTCTTTTCTCCTCAAGGATGGAAGGAGCAGTACTCCTTCCCCAGTCAGGAAGGACAGCACTCTGGTCTGAAGTTTGGAACTCAGACCAGAGGTAAAGAAAACTCCTTCTTCCTAGCCCTGCCACAGCTCACACAAGCCATTCAGGGAAAAACACCAGTTTCAGAGCAATTTATTTTCTCTATCTGTGAAACGCGAGTGCGCTCAGTAATACGTGAGATGCTCTGATGCTGAGTGCAAGTCATTGCTGTAATTTTTTTTTTTGGTTGTCAACCACAAAGAACATCGTTCTGCTTTGTCTGTCTTCATTTTTTTGGCACTAATATTTATCACAGGGGAAAATCCACATGACTGAAGTCTCTACTAGAAACTACAGCCGGGAAGGAACCACAACACAACATATGAGAAGACATGGATTTTTGCTCAGCCAGTAGGGAAGACAAAGTGTTTTTCCCCTCTTCTGGTAATATTTTCAGTAGGAAGAGGTAGTTCTCTTTATATTGGAATAAAGAAGGTCAAGATTTTTAAAAATTGTAGCAATACACACAAACAATAATCAACAGTATTGCTTTTTGCAACCTGCCCAGTGCCTTCAAAAATACTCTGATATCAGAAACTGCTACCAGGCCAATAACAAGGACAAATAAAGAAGCGCAATTTCGTACCTAAATGTAAGCATTTTTGTAGGAAGCACAAAACCTGAACCACACATTTTTTTTTTAAGGCTTACAGCTCTAATTTGCAATGACAGAGCAGGACTTCAGAGTGAAAATGCTGGCGAGAAGAAATGGATACAGCGTTTATCATGCACATTAACGATCTGACTCCCCCCTGTTGTACCCACCCCCTTACAAATGGCCAAATTACCTTGTGTTCTGCGACGGTGCTTTGGGGTTTCAGTTCAATTCCATCTGGTACTCTCGTCCTTGAGAAATCTGCCACTCTGCTGCTTAGCAGTTGCCTGGTAACAAATTCCAATTAATGAACAGAACTACTTCAGTGGAAAAAAAAAAATAAAGAGCCCAAACCCCAAAAAACTGCACATGTACATGTTCAAAAGTGAGCATAAACAACATTCACTAGTCACACTTAAGAGGTTCTTGTATAAAAGCAAGCTGATTAGTCCGTGGATGTGCCTGAATGGACTCGAGCCGGAGGACCACTCACCATACACAGCAGGGAGCTCTCCTCACCTCGACGGAAAGCAGCCCTTCATCTCCAGGCATTTCCCCACTGTTTTTCAGACACTGCATAGTTCAGGCAAGTGAGAGCTGGTCCGTCAAGCTGTCATTTCAGGAGTGCCTACTCCAAAACTTCTCCTGTCTCCCCTTGTACACGACCCCACAGGGTGCAGTTATGAGCCACCCTGCTCTCCGGAGAACGAGCATCAGCTGCACGTGCAAAGGGAAAGCCACTGCTCTTGCTATGTGCTGGTACTGGGGACCTCTCTGCCACTGGAACTTCATACTGTGAATCAGTCCCTGAAACATGGATATCCTCACCTTATGTACAGAGACACGAAGAAAAAGTGGCTGAGAGCACCCAGAGACAGAAGAATGTAAGAGCCACTGGGCTGGCGGGGGCCAAAAGCCCACCTTGCCCAGTATCCTGTCTTCCACAGCGGCCAGACGCAGACACCTGAAGAAAGAGCACGGAGGAGGCGAGCATCGGCTGTGATACACCCCTGCACACTATTGCTTCCTACACAACCAGCAGTATCTTTGCGTTTTAAGCTTTGTCACCCAAGGGGAACTGCCTCAACCTTCTGCCAGCGAGGCTCTGGCCCCGTTTCTGTGCGTTTCCACCTCATATTGTTTATTTATATTCATCTATTTATTACTGCGATCCACTTAAGCCTATTACATTTCTGCCTCCTTTCCACTAACTGTAAAACTGGCTGGATTCAGGATGCTGGTGCGAAGGGCTCTACAGGGCTACCCCACACCTGGAAGAAGTGCATAAGGGTGTTTAGGGTTTTTTTTAATATTGCCCAAAGCAATAACAAAGGTTTTGTGATAGAGCTACTAAGATGGTTGTGAAGGAGTAGAAGTTTTTATGGCTTTTGTTTTGCTGTTTATTTTTTGGGGTTGGGTCCCCCTCCCTTCAATGGGAAGGGTAAATATTCCCGTACTAAACTTAGAAGGAACGGTAAGATACGGAGTAGGATCAATGGGGAGTGCAAGGACGCGTTCTTATCAGGAATGCAAGCAGCAGCTGATCTTAGACAATGTCAATATCCCATTTCTTAGGGGGAGAAAGTAATTCCGAGCCAAGCACACAGGTTTTGGTAGGGAACAGCACACGAAGAGCAGAGACAGGAACTGAAGAATGCAAAATGAGCCCAGGAAAATCAGTGTTTTAGGGGGATTGTGAATGCTGCAAGCATCAGAAGAGGAAATAGAGCATCCATGGAATAGATGTGCTCTACAAGCAGGTAAGATGCTGGATCACACACACACTGACACCATTTCCTTCAAAGAAAAACCTGGTGTCTGTGAGGAAGAATTCTGGCTCATCTCACTGAAAGAAAAACAAGACCAAAAGTTGTTTTACTGGTCAAAGACAGATGCCCTTAGTCCTGACTTCCGCAGCAATGAGCCTTCTCATAGTGGTTAACAGGATTCATACAAGAGAATATGAAGCTCTTTCTCCTGCATATGAGCATGTCCCAAGTCTAGTCCTACTGGGCACCTCCATGAAACCTTGAGCGTGGACATCAAGGCTGTTACACAGCCCAGGCAAGAACAAGAAAACAGGTTGTTTTCACCAGCCAGCTAAAACTCAGCCCAAGGTGTCTCAGCCAAAGCCCACACAGAAACACTCCTACAGACTGTGAGGGGCTTCAGGTCCTGCATTCACATGCTTTAGATAGCAAGAAAAACAAAAACCTTCACTTTATGCAGAATATGCAGAGTTTCAGTGCTGGCTGCTGCTTTCACTCTGATCACTATCCTTTTTGCTATTTACCTGGTAGTAATGAGGATATATTTCCCAAACCACCTTCTTTTAATACAACTGACATTCAGCCGAGGTGAAGGGACTTGGTTCATCGAGACTACACTTTTGATTTCACAGGAGGTCTTGCGGTGGCTGTGTGCACAGGAAGGCAAACCTGACAGGGATCATCCTGCTAAATCCACTTTTCTAGAGGACTGGTGGATCTTGCACAGATAGTAGATGCAAATAACACATGCAGATTTCCAATGGCAGTGATACCACTCCTTCAAATCATTACAGCATGCAAAGATCACAGCAATCTAACACTTACACAGCAAAGTCATTGCTACAGGGCAAATCCATATTTTTATGTAGAGTCTTTCTGTGGTCTAGGATGAATTCTACGACCTAGAGTGAATAGAACTTTTTACAGATCAGAATAAGGTGGTTTGGAAGAGGATAAGTAAGAAAATAAAGTCATTACAGTAAAAAGACAGCTTTCAGGTGCACTGAGTAAGCTGCAAGATTTTTAACATTCTCCCTCCTCATCACTCAGCTTGGAAAATGAACTTCAGAAATGCAAATCAGGAGCATATGCAGGCGCAAAAACTCTGCCTTCTTCAGAGCAGCAGAGGGGAAAGGACTGGTACCAGGCCAACACAATAGCTTGCCAGCAGTGCTACAAATCTGTGCATCTCTTCCTGATGACTGACAAAACTGCTTGTGCAATTATGTCAGAAGAGCAAGAGCCCTCTCCCAGAGAGCTCTGTGATGCACTTCAAAGAAAATCCTACAACTTGAATTAAGCTGAAGTCTCTTTGCAAGAAAATTAGAAATTTCATTCACTGATACTAAAAAATAAATCTGTTGGCTGTTCCAAACAGCAGGGCTGGCCAGCTCTCTTTCACTTGGACTCGCAAGCTATTCACGCTCCACTATTTCTCAGCAGAATATACATTTTGCATGACAGGTAAAACACCACAAGATGTCAGTCACAAAATCAACAGGAGAAACTGGTAAACTAGAGAGAAACAGTTCAGGTGAGATCAGCTTGGTACAAGCCACAGCATCATCTGGCAACCATTTGCAATTGTGCAATATAAAAATATTAAAAACATAGCAAATTTTATAAAACCAAAACCTGCTTACACCACCCCTGCTCTATAAACAGCCCTGGTGAAGGAATCAGCTTTTCAGCGGTAATTATTTCTCCAGGAGTGAACAGGCTATCTGAACACAAGGGTCACATTTGCCTTGCTTTCTTCTCTGTAACCTGTCTTTAGTATGAAGGTGTATAGTTTTCTTTCCCCTCTCCTTTTTTCTTTCAAAAATTCCATCTAAACATAGATCAATGTGATCTCTACAAAAGCACTACCTATTGATACTCAGTTAAAACCAGACATTTCCTCACTGTTCCAGGGCAGAAGTCATCAAAGCTTATTACACTGCATACTGCATAATGGAGCAAACATTTACCCCCGGGAGTTCATTATAGTGCCATTAAACTGCTTAATTACAACTGACATAAATGACTGATAGCAACTTCAGAGGGGAGCAGTATTTATGTATGCCAATTTTTTTTCCAGATATTTAAAAGTGTGTAATAAAAAGGAAGAAAATAATAATAATTAAAATATAAATAAATCATGCCAACCTTGAGTGGTTCATGTCATCTTCGTCGCTGCTGCCGACTTCGTCACTTGATGAGGAATAGTCTGCTGCTTTTAGAAGTGAGTTGGCACTGTCCTTCCCCTTGGCAAAGGAGCTTGGGCTCTAAGAAAAGAAAACTCAGTTGATTTTTTTTTCTCATGGAAGAACCCATCACTAAACAGCATGTGCAGTATTTTACTGTCCCAGCAAACAGAGTTACTGTCACTTCCACAACAAAGAAGCTTTATTAGGAAGTTGATCCAGCACAAGTGGGTATTTCCCACAGGAAAGTGACCTAAGCCATAACATCTGAAAGGTGACCACCTTTAGTCAGCCGGTTATTTTGAATCTCAAACATCAATCTCACTTTGCAGGAGCACAGAAGTACTTGTTTCTCTCACAAGAAAAGGAGTGCTCTGCACCAGAACTAAAGGATTACACCGACTTGAGTTTTGTCCCAGCCCTGAACTACCTTGAGGCTTGGGGGGCTGTGCCTGTGCAGACCGGGCACAAAGCACCTTTGGGTTGGAAAGGCCATGCCAACACAGCCATGGCTCGCAACCACAGGGCAGTCAGACATCCCAGTCTGATGGGAACACGTACACAGGCCTCCCAACTTCGTTGGCAGTGGCCTAAACAGTCAGTGGCACGTCAACAAAGAGAGGGCCAGGACAGTCTTGAGTGTGTCACAGCCTAGCAGTGCATATTCCAGGCAGTTACACACTGGGTATTTGCAGAAGCCACAGGCACGGTCTTGACTTCTGGGTAGCATGATAAGTGATTCATGACTTCCTGAAATATTAAGGATGTACCCTCCCTTTCTAAAGTTTTATGCTCAGATAGGTTCAGGAAAACTGAACTGTCTGCTGAAGACCTGAGCTGGACACAAGTCAGATCTGGACCAAAAGCTGATGAGACGTGTTAATGCAGCAGTTAACCTCGAGCCAGCCCCACGCAGCCTCATTAGCTGGCACAGTCAAGCACCAGCAGAGGAGCTGTCTGCACGGACACGTCCTCAGAGAGAACTACGGGCAAATCAAAAATATCAGTGGATTTAAAATAACCTACCGCAATCTGGACTGCGTGAGAAGCTTTGTCAGACTTCTTCTGCAGCTGCAAGTGGTTCTGGGACAAAGCATTCTCTGACTGGTCCGGTCCTGGATTCCCTGAAAAACAAAACACCAAGGTTCTTTTTTTAAATGAATGTGCAACAGAGTGAGCAAGGGGACCAGTCAGACAAGCACATATACAGTTACCACCCAAAGCAGACACCAGCCTCTGCTGGCAAACTTCCCTTTTCTCTTTGTTGCAAGGGGCAATCTTTTTTCTTGTTTCTCAGTGGTTCTGGATGCCACAATAATGTGTACATAAATCCATAATGGTGCAGTTTAATGCTGCAAGAGTAAGATGAACAGACCAAAACCGTGGCAACATACTTCCACTGCTCAACAGCAACAGTTCCATGGACTGGAATGCAGCTAGCAACGGAAAAGGGTGATGGCATGCTAATCCCTTCCTCTGAACCTCTTGTTGAGGGGAGCAGTTCATCTTAGCAGCAAGTGTTGGGTATATTCCAGCACGGAAGGTGCCACCCAGCTATATTGCTGTGACTGCAGCCAGGCGGTCACGGAGAGGGTACACGAGCCTGGGTCCTGAAAGCACATTTTCATGAGCAACCAAAGGTGACGTCAAGATTTGGCCTTCATAAAACTGTTGCACAAAAGCAGCCTAAAGGATCTGATTCTCTAAACCCCACTGGGCTGGGGGCAAACAGCTACACTAAACTTTGCTCACGAGCATGGGGTCAAACGAAACTAGGATTCACTGCTTCCCATGGCAGCACAGCCTGAGCTGTTTTCCAGTCCCTGCTCCCCTTGGGGCACACACAGTGCCACTTCTCAGCTCCCACCTTCCACTCTGCACTGTGGGGAAGCAGGTAATAACAGCCCTCATTTCTGCAGAGAGAACTGCACTGAAGGCACTGTGTTTCACTCCCAGGTGGCTTGGGGACCTGCCACCCTGCTTACACCTTCCCTTACTGCTCATGAAGCTACCTGGGAAGGGCAAAAGCAGCCTTCAGAGCTTCTGCCTTCTGCACACAATTCCTGATACATGTGAAGGGAGAGAAAGCAGACGTGCCCTCACTCTGCCCCTGGGACACACAAGCCAGCTCAACGTCTACCTTGTGCAGCAATTTCTCCCCTGGCTATCCCGCTGCTACCAACAGGACTTCTTGCAAGTTAAGTGGGGAGAATTCAAGCCCACACATATTAAGATTTGAATTTGGTAACTTAGATAGCTATTCATTGACCAATAAGGAATTCTGAATCTTAAAAGCTTTGCAAAATGCATGAATGCGTGAAACTGTTGCGATAAAATGAAGTAACTCAGCAAAAGTATTAGCTTTAAAGTATTTATAGCCCTTTCCTGCCCAATTCATTATCCCTGTGGGTTTGGGAAAGCAACAAACCCTTTCTGGAACACCATATGCCAGAACTAGCTGCAATTTAATGACACTTAAGAAGCCAAGGAGACAGTTTAAACCACAAGGGAGGTTTTCTATTCTTTCCATTGCTGGTGAGGTCTTCATTTCCCCTTGCCAAAACAAGACAGGAGTTACACATCACACAGACATTGTGAAGTTGAGATGGGCTGTTGCACGTTGTTCACCTCTATATGCTGTTATTTAAATACAAAATGACATAAGAGCAAAAAGAAACATAACCCAAGCAGCTTAAAGTGTGCTTTGAATCTCCCCTGAAGCAAAGCTTTGTGCTCAGTGTAGTCAGTGAGAGCAAAACTGGCTTGATTCTCTAAGTGTAATAAATAAGCAATTTGTTCTTCGTTTATAAAGGGCTCCCAAATTAACCATGTGAGTCTCAGTTTAAAAATAAATGACTTCAGCAGCTCGCTGGTGTGGTTTTAGAACATTTTTAGCATCCACCCTACTTCAAACTGGCAGGATTCCCCATGTCCCCCTTCTTCAGTAGTCAACCTGGATGCAAAGCATTGTAAACACACCACTGCTTTGCCAACACCTACACGAGAAACTGCCCTACGGTTGACCCACAGAAAATGCCCTTAGGAATAACAGTAGAGGAACAAAGCTGTCCACTTCTGCTCCGTGTCCCCACCTGCCAGAATCTCAGGGTCACGTCTCAGGAACAGAGTCTGTACTGCAAAAAATATGCAACCGCCAGCAAGCCCACGGCGTTCCTACACCGCTACTAGTCATACCAAGACAGCTTACAAAGTTGCACTTTGTTTAATTTGGATGAGGCTGTCACTACCTTTCAACTTCTTTTGCCCTTTTTTCAGTTCCACTATCTTTCTGCAAGTAAAGAATGTTGGAGGAATGTTTCATAAGGTGCTGTACAGAGAGTCTTTTGCTTCCTTCAGCCAGGATGTTTAACGTGCAGAAGTATTAGTGCACAGCAACTGCTCATCTGTATCATCCTATCAGTGGGCAACGAAGAAGAGCAGCATACGGTTATGCAGAAAATGCCAGTGGGTGAACCTTAGTATGTAATTACATCTGTATGTCTGTAATGTTGGCTCTGCTGAGTTTCAGTGGTGTCAGTAAGTGCAACAGAAGTGATTTTCTTTAATTCTTAATTAAGGCAATTCAGATTTTCTATATGGAAATATGTTCACAGTCACTTTTTGACTCAAAAGAGGAAGCGTTTAGATTTTAGGAACATGGAACCATAAAATCCAGAGAGGTTTCAAAAGCCTACCACCCGAAGACATAATTAAAAAAAAAAATTCCCATTTGCAATGTAGCACTTGACACCCTGCAGGAGCCTGTTTCATGTGATCGAAGTTTTGCACATTTTGAGTGATGCATCTTTTGAGTTAGGAATCACCTGAGGTTGACCGGCTGCTCTGATGAGATCCCATCTCCCACTGCTTGGTGCCAGGAGTGCTGCTGCTGCTGTTTAGCTTCAGAGCATGTACCCCAGGGGATGACTGATGAGTGTTACTAAACAGACAGACAAAAAGCAGATCAGACTATCTTGCATGCAGGAACACAGACTGGAACAGACCTCCTAGGCCACTGAATCGAGTTTCCTGCTGTTACTGTATGATATAATACTCCTGATAAACAAAAGTTTTATATGCACTACTGCTCCAAGCTGGGCCACCCAGTAGTGAGAGAGGATGGAGGGGACAGTTTCCTCTGGGCAGTCATTTTGGGAGACTACAGAGATTCCTAAGTCATTACAAAATATCCTATTACATGTACTTCTCTCTTGGCCTCTTCAGACCTGTGTCACTCCTGACTCCAAAATCTCATGGCTTTTACAAATAATGAAACTTGCTCCAGCACCCTGCTAGCAGACACATCATCACCCACTTATGAATGGAGAAAGGAATGCACCAACATTAGAACAAGCTGCTGAGCTTGTGAGTAAACCAGTGTCTCACCCAGAAACCCAGGTGCAGAAGCCCCTCACTTATAACACTGTGGTCTACTTACATGCCTCCTTACTGCTTTTCCTCCTGTAATCCCTAAATAGGAATTTAGGGCTTGTCTTCACTTGAAAGTTATTTCAGAAAATGTTTCTGACTCCGGCTCATGGGAAGTGCTGTACATTATTTTGTTATGTCAGCTAAATCTACTTCCCTTTCAAATACCTCCAACTCTAGTTTCTCACAGCATTATGTTCCCTGATCAGACATCCAGTGGGGGCTACCTTTACCGCTCAGCTCTCTGCATCCTTGGTCTTTTCTACTGGGATACAAAAAAAAGCACACTAGCCTTAAGGGCAGACTGCCAAAATAGTCAAGATACATTTACAAACAGCCTGTTCAAGCTACCACCAGGCAAAACAAAGCTACAGGCACAAGCTTCACAAGCTGTAAGTGCCTACACAGAGAGTTGGGGCCAGACTCTCACTCGCCAAAGTATCCAGGCACCTTACTCCCCTTTGAAATCAATAGTGCTGGCACTGATGTAGAGCATCTGCAAGAGCATCCAGGCAGCCCTGAGCAGCAACACTCCCACCTGCCATCACCAGTGCCAACAGCCTTGGATCTGAGTAACCTGCACCTCCAGCAGTCACTTACCCTAACACGAAGGGAAAGCAAAGCATTGCCAAGTCAGAAAGAGTTAAATGACTGCCCAACACGCTGCCCGTTAACTGGGAAACGAACACAGAACTTGCATGCAGCCTGCTCGGGCATGCCAAACAGGTTGAAACAACTCATTGCAGGAATTATTACAGATGGAACAGTCTTTATATATTAAAAATAGTTTTCCAGCGGAAGAGAGAACTACCCTGCATGAAAAGGAGGACGAGATCTGCAAGAGGCTTGTTTCTCTTTAAATCAGTTATGTCAATCATTAAAAGGAAGCTGGTTTAGACACTTCCTTCAACTTTAAGATCAGGAAGTTTGGTTAGTTATTTTTGTGGACGAACTGACTCAAAACTCAAAATAATTGCAACTGCTACCAAACGAGGTAGGAACTCATGTCAGTTCCGGTGTTACTGAGGTTATGGCTTTGCTTTTAATAAATTTGCTTTAGTTTTCCTACTGACAATAGATCAGCATCAGTTTAAGCATAAAACATTTATGTGCTTACCTTGAAAGGCATCTCTGATGGCCAGGCTGACCCCCGCTGTAAAATTTAGAGGTTGTCCTTTCTGGAACCTTAAGGATTTAATGAAATGTTTTAAGGTTGCTACTCGTGGTTTAAACTCAGTAAATAAACCTAATGCTCACCCTGGATCAATGCGAAAATAAGACTAACCAACAATAAATGAATAATGCTTCGGTGGGGAGAGGGCTTCCATGGTATCAACACTGGGAGCTGCAAGTCAGCAGCACGTGCTTCCCATCTGCTCCAAGCCAGTGCAATCTATCAGGGTGCAGACTGAAAGCAGTTTGCACCTCTCCTGAGAGTCAGCGTTATTCTAGGTCAGTATTTAAAGCAGAGAGGGAAACGCATCTGCAGTCACTTAATGCAGCTTTCCCTAGGTGGGGGATTACCTTACGTTCCTACCTGGAAGAGACACACCCCAGCTGCGCAGCAGTAAAATGAATACAGCACACATGCATATACACATCCCCACATATATATTCTTGTACTTGTTCCTAGAAATTCTGTTAAAAGAGAAATATGCCATCACCTGCATTACACAAACTAATGAGCTCTTCTGCAACAAGCCAGATTTTCCACAGAAAGGGCAGCTACAAATACTTGGTCTAACTAAAGAAGTGCATCGCATTCACAGGTCCTGCAGACATTACACACACAAACTCAGAACACTGACCTGCTTATAAATTCATATCTTCTTTCTAGATTATTGAGACCCAGTTAATGTAGAAACAATGAAATTTTCACTCGTTTTCATGAAGCCCCAAGGATGGATTCTGCACCGCGCAGGGGAAACCGAGCAGAGTTCTATTAACCACCGACATTGCCAAACACCCTGAGTTTCACATACCTTTGGGGGCTGTTCTTCGCTTTGACCCACGCTCCAGAATACGTCATCCGGCACAGGGCTGAGTGGTGTCGTCACCATATCCGATAGTGAACTGCTGTGGTACATATCCTTACTGGCTCGGAAATTTTCACACTTGAAACAAATGAAATACAAGCTGCATTGAACTTCCTGCCATGTAACAGGTCTCAGCCTCAACAGGTATCAATGGTTCTGTTTGCAAGATCAGATTTTCAGTAAACGTCCAAGGAGTATTGTGTTTGGATACAACCCTACTCACTGTGTTCACTGTGAAGCGAGTTATTGATGTTAGCGTGTCAGGCACAAATATTCCAAGGTGGAGGGTACAATAAAAAGAAATAGTAAAAACATCTATGCTGTACATAGATCTTCCCTTCTTAAATCTGTGAAGAAGCTTACAGGTCATTGGTGATGAACAGCAAACTACTTCACTAGATGATGCAAAAATTAGTGTGGAGTACGTACATTTCATTCAAACCTGACCAGTGCTTCCATTTCAGAATTCAGACAGTATAGACTCTCACAAGTTTGATGTTGACTTCCAAACTGGCCTTTGCAAGCCTACCATCAACCTAGAGTCAGTGGAGACAAACTGCCATCTGGAAGCGCTTTCACCTCTCCAATGGTTGTGAGGGTGCCCTGGCTCTCTGCTGCCACAGATTTTTTCGACTGGAAAAAATCAAACTTGAGAATGCAGGAAGACAGAAATAAGACTAATGCTCAGACTACACCTCATGGGTAGTCATGTCCATGTGCCCATTGCAACTACCCATGTTTAAAAGATATCTTCAAAGGTATGGAATTAGAGCATTAGGATAGCAAATGCCCTAATTCACGGCAGGAGGCGAGGAAGACATCAAATCACCTCCTCATAAAGACTTCATTCAAGGGAACAATAAGTAAGAAGGGTAAAACCCGTTAAAATGCTCAAAATCTGGTCCTCTGACTCTTTCTGTCTTTAAAAGAAAAAAAAAGAAAGGAAAAGAAAAAAAGGAAAGGTTCCTTAAATTCTACACACTAATGAAAAGGTATGAAATTAGAGCATTAGGATTGCAAATGCCCTAATTCATGGTGGGAGGTGAGGAAGACATCAAATCACCTCCTTAAGACTTCATTCAAGGGAACAGTAAGTAAGAAGGGTAAAACTCGTTAAAATACTCAAAATCTAGTCCTCTGATTCTTTCTGTATTTAAAAGAAAAAAAAAAAGAAAGGAAAAGAAAAAAAGGAAAGGTTCCTTAAATTCTACACACTAATGATCTATTACACTGTTGTCTTGCAAAGGGGAAGCAAGGCAGAGAGCTAAAAATGTACTGATTCTCCCAGAAATGAGAAATCCTCTTAGACACAAGACCGAGACAGAACACACAGAAACGCTGGGTGAGCTGGGCCCGTCTGGAGGAAGTGCTATGATAGAACCAACCTGATGTTGGCACAAGTAGAAAAACATATTAGAGAAATGCCTGAAGCTATACCACTTTCTGCTTTATCTTGTCAGACCTTCCATGCAACACCAGACCGGGGCTCTCCAGAGACAACCACAGCAGGCAGGAATGTCACATCCTTCCGGCACCTGGAGGGAGCCCGTGCCCCGGCATGTGAACACACCTCTGCCAGGAGGCACCTCTACCTCAAACGCACGGTGAGACCAGCATCCACGCCACTTGCAGGCCTAAGAAAGAGGCTGGCAATTTTTGCCTGAGTCAAAGTTCAAACTCCTGTGTCCTGATGAGTTACTGCAATGAGTTACTGATCAGAGGAAGCTGCAGTTCAGTTTCCCCCAAAAATGACTCAGACAAGTATTTTATTCATTTATCTGACAAAGTCTGTAAAACTCTACAGTTCCCCAGTCTTAGAAACACAGTAACTGAGAACTGCACACAGCTTTTCAATAATATAATACGATTATGACCTCCCCTATCATTCCACAAGACTAATCATTTCATGAGAACAATGTTCAAAATCACTTAAATATTGACATGTACGAACTCTAAAACTTGTTAAAGATGACAAACATCCATCCAAATGTCCCATCACAGCCTCCCAGACCAGTACGGCAAAGCCAACTGTCGAAAACCAGTTCTGAGTTCACCTAGTTAAATATTCAGGTGCTTTATCTGCCTTTTTGGGACAGTATGTTCTGTTGACTCTCTTTACAGAAAATAGCTTTTTCAGCAGTTGTAACATCTCATAATCCATGTCCTTTCATTTTGTCAAAATGACTTTTTTGTCCAACGTGATTGTCACTAATAACAGTTCTTAGTTAACCAGAATTATTTCAACAGCAAAGCGTTCCTCTGAAATGATTCATCGTGGGTACAGCAATAGGTTTTATAGCCAAGTGTATTATTACCAGAATACAGAAAGATTCTTTTCTCCTTGCTACTTTTTCAACAAGATACTTACATTTCTTCCTAAATTCTACCTTTTGAGACCTGCAGACTACCAGAAAACTACTTGTGCTTAAAAGCACGGATGAGCTTTGCTGACATAAGGGACAGGGTGAATCCAAACGGTGCAGATGGTACCTACAAACCCTTCTTGAAGAGACCAGTACACCGATTCCATGTGAAGCCAAGAAGCGATGCCTGCTTTTGGGATGATTTCTGTAGAACCCACAAGACTTTGCAGCTTCTCAAAAATATCAGAGAACCCCCAAAATCATGGTGTTTGATATTTCCCTTATTTTTACAGCTAAAATAATTTGTATGGGGGAAAAAAAAAATTAAAAACCCCAACATTGATTCTAAACTACTTAGACTCAAGCCCTAAACTGTTCTCATTATAAGTAATACTGGGAGAACAGCAGCTCCTCTCATGCACAGAAAGCACTGGGAGACAAAGTATTACCTACTATGTGTCTTCAAACCATGAAGGCACGCCTCACAGAGCTCAGGAAGAGGACCCTTTGCTCCCTGAAATCATCACATAAGGTGATTTAGTACCAAAGACTTATTACTAGAGTTAGTTTAAAAATATTTAGGAGCAAGAAGTTTTAAAAAGACAGGCCGTATGGCTTTTTGCAGGATACTAATGTGATACTTTTTGCACGTTACTAATGTGAACTGCATCTACATACAGGGGGTAGATAATTGTGACTGTTGTTACAAAACAGCATAAGGAAAAGGTTAAAACTTCTGAGCACATCTGCTCTGGGATGCTGTGTCAATCCATGACCTAATGTGCAGCTAGCTCTTCTAACATTGCTAGCTTTCTTGTTCTGCTACAGCCACAGTACTCCAGACAATAGCGGAGATCTAGCTAGCAGATCCTACAGGAAAACCACAGAGTCAATTAAAAAATGGAATTCATTTCAGATGTGAGCTAAATTCCTCCACTAGTCAGGCAGCAGGAGACACTGGGCAGAGAAACAGACTCAGTGACTTTGTTCAAGTCATCTCTGAAATTCTGCAGGTAGCCCAGAACGGCGCATTCCACACCACCACAGCCAGAGAGCCAGATCTGCCACGGCACTGCAGCAAACACAAAACAGGCACAAAACAGATGGAAATGGTACACTCTGATCTGGCAACAGCTCACATGACCTTTACCAGACAGACAGGATACCAGACACTGAGGAATCATACTCTCTGCACCTCAGGGAGTGTGTTAGGATTTCCAGTGAAATAATTTTGAGAAAGATTTGGACCACCAGGACATGCCACAAAATCTCACAGCGTATGATTTTTAAAAATAAAAAGTGATTTTTGTCTGAGCAGCAGAGTGATGACAGATGATCCCTCTCCGACAAACCTGGCTGGAGTTCCTCAACACAGACATCTATGATGAATTCAGCTTGCATTTTACCTCCACAGTTCACTTTTAAATCAACAAGGCACCCACGTATTCAACTCCACAAGTAGATTGCTTTTAATCTGCAGGTGACTAACTGGCCCATCACTCCTATTGCCTTAACACTTCATAAGTTAACGCAGGCAGCATATCCAAACATGCCGCTATTACCACCAACAGCTGCTGCCAACCAGCAAAAGGAAACACAACCCTTCAGAGGATTTATAAATTACCACTGAAGTTCATCTGGTCTCCATGCTAACACAGCAGGGAAGAGCACAGATTGGCTTCTGCCTGTCCACACCGTCTCTATCAGCTGGAGCACTGGCTCGTGAGTGGGTAACTGGGCAGATACCTGCAGGGAGTGAAATCACACGGCAACAACCGTCTATCACTTGCTGCTATTATCCTTAAGTAACACCATCACTTTAAACAGCATAAAAATTTTAGAGTGTAGTTTCCATCAAGGAATGTGAAAGAGGTTGGTAAATACTGCTTCATTCGTCACCAGTCCCCTTGGCAGCTGGGAGAGATACTACCAAACAAAGAAGCACCAACAAGGTGCAAAGAAATGAAGTGACTTGTCTTAGGTGACACAGCCAGCCTAGAATGGAGCTCCTTTCATCCCAGGAGTGGCATTTTAATAGGGCAGGACTAACCTCTGTATAGCCACTGTGTTTCCCCAGAATCCCAAATGCCCTGCTGTCCTGGTTTCAGCTGGGATAGGTTATTATGCCAAGTAGTTGTCGTGCTTATACTAAGCCAAGGACATTTCAGCTTCCCATGCTCTGCTAGCGGGGAGGTGCACAAGAAGCTGGCTGAGGGAACAGCCAGGATAGCTGACCCAAACTGGCCAAAAAGACATTCCCAACCACATGATGTTATCCTCATTATATAAAACTGAAGTTGGTCAGAGGGCAGAAATCACTGCCTGGGGACAGGCTATCCGTAACCGGGTGGTGAGCAATTGTTGCATCCCTTGTTACTGTATATTCCTTTATCAGTATTATTATTTACTCTCCCTTTGCTGTCCTATTAAACCTTTTTTATCTCAAACCATGAGTTTTTTTCCAGTTCTCTTGCCCATCTCACCTAGGATGGGGGAGGTGAGCCAGCAGCTGCATGGTGCTTAGTTGGTGGCTGGGACTAAACCACAACACCTGCAATAAACTATGGACTATTCCACTCCTACTGTAGGCTGAAATATTCATCTCAAGGAAGCTGCCAGCCTCTACCCAAGGCTAAGATACATATGTCTTTCTGCAGACCTTGCACCAGGTCTCCAGTGGTTTGACCCTACAGGAAAGGCACAGGGAAGCTTCGACTTAAAAGACAATAACGGACAGCTATTATCTGCATCCCATAGGCTTTTTCCAGGGCATCAACAGAAGCAGAAGGACAGGGAAGTGCTGAGCCAGGGAGCCTGATCCACAAGGACCCTGGCTTCTGGGGATGGAGCAGCTACAGAGTGCTTTGTGAAGCACAGCCTAAGAAAAAGTCAGAGCAACAGATCCAATGGATGAGGAAAAGAGGTCACAAGATGCCACAGCAGCACCCAAACAACTCCTAAGCCTGATCCGAATGCCACGCTGCCACGGGTAAATCCTACAGAAACAACTGGAGAGGTGGATCAGAAGTTGTATATCCATCCACCCATCCATCCAGGAGCCAGCCCAAACTGAGAGCTGCCAAGAATAAAACAAGAACTATAATTGTATATCCTCGTTGAGGGGATGAATGAAGTGCTGTGGGGAACTGTAAGGGCAGTAAGATTATTCCTACCGCTGCATGTTTTCAATGTTTCAGCTTAAATGAGCTGTGCTCACATTTAACATAGTTTATTCTACTTCCTGGCTTGTTTTTCTTTCTCTCGCACGTGCTTACAGTTCCTTCACAAGAGACTGAGTAAAAGGTAACTGCAGTCTAAGCTACTTATTTCATACTCTGTGAAAGGTAGGACGTTAAAAGGAAGCCAAGTTTTTGGGCACACTGCGAGAACCCTAAATCTCCTAAAACTGGCAGAATCAGGCTAAAATGTTTTCACAGAAGGATTCCGAAACAGAACCTTATCAAAGCGCTTTCACTGCACAGGTACTGTTTAGGTGCCTCTTCTACCCCTAATACTGAAAATTTTCAAGTCCCAGACCTTCTGGACTCTATCCACAAGCAAAAATCTGACTCTGCATTGGTCCTTATTCTTATTGGTCCTTATTCTCCATATACTTCTACATTATTTCATAAGATTACTAACCATCTTGCTTGTGTATATGGTCTTCAGGGATAAAAATTCTGCTTTTGGACTTGTTTTGTAAAGTAGCACATGTATTTATGGTGCCATATAAATAATACACCAGGCAGAGACTGCAACAATGCAGTCGTTCGGGCTTTCTGTGAAACGTCTGAGAGTAGTATCATGGAATCAGCAATCAGGCATCAAGTATATAAAAATAACTGTTATCTAACTGTTATCTGCAGTACTTAAGTATAATTCCATGAAGAACTTAGCAGCATGTGGTGGCACTAAAAACCTCTGAGCTGGTTTGCACAGGCCTCAGTCATTTGTGCCAGGAGTGAAGGCAATCAGGTTTCGGATGTGCTGTTCTGCTTAGGAAGCACCCATGCTTTCCCCTCCCTGTCTGGGGCAGCAGCACATACCTGCACTAGCACGGCTCGCTGCGGGGCGGGGGTGCAAGGGCTGGAACTGCTGCCTGATCCCATCCTGGCGTGTGGCATGGCTTCGTGTCCCAGCACTGCTGGCCACTGGATGCTGTCGCTTTTCTTTTTTCGGTCCTCGGCCTGTGAAAGAGAAAAGCAGCAGGATGTTGCAGACGGAGCCTCAGGCTGTGCACCTGAATGTTCTCCAACAGCAGCCCGGAGCGCACTGACTCTGACGGACATCCCCGTCAGGGAGAGGCCAGCCCTGGCTCAATACAAACCATTACTGCCTCTCCACTTGCAAACCTTACTTTTCCATCAAGTTTCCAGACTGCAGCAAGGAAAAGGGCCTGAGTTGCCTTCTGCTGTCTCCTAGGCCATCCGATTTGCTGCAGGCTGGGATTTGAGCTGGGAGGAATCATCTGTCTGCATTTACTTTGACAACACGCAGCCTGTATTGCTGTGCATTCATTATTTCCTTCTACAACACTAACATCACTGCATGTGGCTTTGTACTTTAAAACACCTTTAACACACTGTCTTTTGGTATGTTACTTGCACTATGGAAAAGACTGAGGAACATGATCTAGAAGGAATAAAAGTACTTTCATTTCCTGAGGGCGTTACTCATTACAGAAATCTTTAACCTATGGTTTTGACCCCACTACTCTTTCCAGTTTCATTCAAGATGACTAATTCCCATTCTCTAGTGTAAATCTTTACCATATCCTCTGATTCAGCAGCCTAGAAACGGCTCTGCACAGTGAACAAGAGAGTAGTGCCATAATAACACCCAGTTATTTGTGTCTGTGTGGGCATTCTTAATGGTATCTCTCACTGTATCTGGATGTTTGTGTCTGTATCAGAAGGGTAAGCATATTCCTGACACAGCCTAGGAAACTGCTGAGGTGATGGAAAATGATTCCACTTAGTCTCACAGATCTTGATTGGGGAAAAAAATAACACCAAAAAAACCCCAAGCCTTATTAAAGCAAGCAACCACAGCCAAATATCATGCAATTCTAGACCCAGTGAACTCAATCATTATACAGCTCTTGAGGCCAGATTTTCGTTACTTGCAGCTCCTAATAACAAAAGGCAAATTTTACCATAAGCAAGAAAGAAAATGTAAAAGCTAGACATGATAATTTACCTTCCACCTCTGTGCCCAAAGGGTGCTTGCATGTACTGTATTATGATCCAGATGCAAACGCATGCAGTCAACACTTTGGGGTCCCAGAACCGATGCCAATCTCTGTCCAGGCACTGAACTGGAGCAGCGTCAAGCCGGAGCTGGGAGTCCTTGTCTCAGCTCGTTTGCTCCAGTGACAATGGGACCAGATACAGCCTGGAGTGAGCTCACGTCTGCACTAACCAGAGGAAACCTGTCCTGGCCTGCCCGCAACAGGATGAGTGCCATGGCAAATACAAGGAATTTTACGTTAAAACATGAAACTTGAGGCTTTGGAGACTGGAGCAGCGTCAAGCCGGAGCTGGGAGTCCTTGTCTCAGCTCGTTTGCTCCAGTGACAATGGGACCAGATACAGCCTGGAGTGAGCTCACGTCTGCACTAACCAGAGGAAACCTGTCCTGGCCTGCCCGCAACAGGATGAGTGCCATGGCAAATACAAGGAATTTTACGTTAAAACATGAAACTTGAGGCTTTGGAGGGCTTTAGGGATCTGCACTAACCAGAGGAAACCTGCCCTGGCCTGCCTGCGACAGGATGAGTGCCATGGCAAACACAAGGAACTTTACGTTTAAACATGAAACTTGAGGCTTTGGAGGGCTTTAGGGTTTGTTTTTTTGTTTGTTTTTAATGTCTCAATGCACTAATAATTCTGAAGAGTTTCTATATATCAATAATTGGTCCTGCAAAATGCCACCGAGACCTAAAAGGTTTGCAAACAAACTCATCCTTGAGTAGGCTCTCACCCTATCCTCTGTAGGTCTACCAACAGAGAAACTAGCATCTCCTTGGCTAATAAACTCAGAAAGATCAATATCAACAAGAACAAACTCACTGAGACGTAACTGTGAAAAAGTTAAAACTTCAAAGCATTTTTAAATTGTTCTGAACAATTCTGACTACTAACATAATTACAAAGTCTCAAGCTTCAACCAAAAAATGCAACCCTCTACCAGTAATTATGATTTTAGTGGAAGGATCTGTGACTTCCAAGTGCTGAGATTAAATAAGTAATATTGTAAAATACTTTGTCCTTAAAACTAGAGTATACTATGGTAGCCATAACAACAAGAGTCTTGTGCTGTGAACCTAAAAGGCAGGCAGCACTTTATCTGCAACTAGTGATGTTTCATTTCACCACTAAATTAAAAGTTAAGTGACTTGCACGCTGAATTCCGTAATACATTTGATTCTGCTGCAAAGGGGTCATTTACAAAACCCATGCCCAAACCACAGAGGAGTACTTAAGCTGACATTCTGCGGTTCTGTTGACGTCTAACTACAATGGAGTAAGAAAAGAAAGTTAAATTAGCTCAACTGAGTTGCTTTTTCTCCCCACCCACTGAAAGCTTAGCAAAGGCAAAGCATTTCTGCTGACTTTGATGTTGTGTATTTAGCAAAAGCAGCTTACTTCTTTGTCCACACCCAGCTTACTCCCCAGATGGAATAAGACCCAGCCCTCCACCACCAAACAAATATTGATTTCAGGAGGGGTTAATTCAGAGTTCAGTAACGATCTGTTGAATCAGTCAATGCAATAAAGCCTTTGGATCTAAGGCATTTGGGTTTTTGACAGTTAAGTTGAACTTCAAACAGAATTATTCTCTTGTTTTCACAAACTGCTATTTCAACAAGGAGCTTAATATCCTTTGTTTTACTGACTTCATATTGCTGCTTAGCTGTTTGCAGACTCTATTCAGTTATTAAAATTCGTCATCTCAACAATCCTAGCAGTTTTGTTTAACACTATCAATATAGAGAATCTCAGCGTGCACACAAAGAGGAAACAGAGGGCACTTGCTTTAAGGCTGCAGCAAGAGGTTAAGAAGCAGTGCTCTGCTTTCCCCCTGCGTACACGGGCATGAGCTCTCCTCGTGCCTTTGCTTGGGTATTTTGGGAAGATGCTTTGCCATGAATACAGAGACCATCACATCCACTATTCTGCTTAGACACAGCTACTCAAGGAGGCACCTGTGAGCTGCTGAGAGTTTTTGACATCGACCCAGACTTCAGTAACACAACAAATCACCCCAAGATGTGGAACTGGGCTCACAAGCTGCGATTATATCAAAAAGAAAGATAAGTGTGTTAGGAATGATGAGATAACATACGTGCAATGCACCCGAGCTTTTCACAGTGTGGTAACAGTAAGCAGAACAAGTTGGCAGGCAGAAATACTTCCAGAGTTAGCAAGAGTGAAATGGATTACAACTCTTAATCAAGGACTCTCTGCGGCTACCCCATATCCATCAAATCTTATCTACCTAAAATCCTGGGAGACAAAGAACAAGAAAAGGTATCACAGCCTGACAGTGAGGCACAGAGGTCTGAGCATGACGCCATTCTGCGTCTGGGACAATTCTGTGGACCCTAAAACGAGGCAAAGACATCTACTAAACCTCAGATGATACTACCGTAATTCATTCCTCTTTGGAAGACAAGGGAATGACAGCTGGTTGAACAGAGAGACCTTGTTTCCCCATTCACCAATCAACCCCTTTTCTGAACTCAAGTAGAAATGACAGAGCAACCCCTCCTTTCCCTTATCCTCTACATTAATGGGAACCAAAGGCTTTATGGTCGCATAAGTGTGTGATAAGACAGGTCAAGCTCCAGATTTAGGTTTAAAGATCAGTCTGTTCTCTGCTTCTGCATTACCACAGCATCATAAACTGCAAAGCACTAAAATGCTCTACTGGCCAAGACAGTACCTCTTTGCTTGTGCTGCTTGATGGAGGATGCACGGCTGAATTTGAACCCTTGGAAGGCTCCTTCTTCTTCTGCTTGTGGTCGTGCTGGAGAGACAGCAGCTGTGTCTGATCTTTGGGGAGAGTTCGGTGCACCTTCCTGTTGTGCTGCACATCTTCCACCTTCTAAAAGCAGAGAGTGATGAACCTCAGAGAACAATGCCTTGGAGGACAACCAAGCTGACTCCTAGAAATACTGGCTTTTCAAAGAACAAAGCGAGCACAGCTCCAGCAGGGCTGACAGAAGAGCCACAACCCCAAGCAACAGGAAGCATAAAGTGACCCCAAACACTCTGTGCTTGGCTTTTGAGACAGCATGTCAGAAAACCATATTTTTCTTTTTACTTTCCCTAGAACCAGGGGGTTTTAATGAAACACTCCATGCTCCCGTTTGATTACAAATCAGTTTGCTGCTGAAGCAGTAGAAAAACATTGTGGCTAAGGTGCCAGACATGACAATGAGACTTCAGCATTAAAATTAACCTCTGCTCTATTTTTGACTGTGAAAAAGAAATGGTCATGATTACAACTCAAACAGAAACTGGAGATTTAAGCTTAGGTTGAGCTGATGCTGGAAGCTTTTGGGGTAAAGATATTTTAAATCAGATTAAATGACTGAAGACCATTTCAGGACTGAGAAACAGCAGGGACAGAATTGGGAGAGGCAGTGTCTTTGCTGTAGATAAGGAGGATGACTCAGTAACCCTAAGTTAACTCGAAAGAAGGCTGAATCTGAGAACAAGAGGCAGTAAATACATTAAAAAAAGTCCCTCTCTGGTCTGTGACTCAGAGGATGGGAACACCCTCAGGGAACTGAGAAAGACATCAGCTACAGGAACAGGGAGCTGTGAATTGCTGCCAGTCAACACTCTTTTCATACCTGCTTCTTTTCTGATTTCCTCTGTCCATCTACTATGAAGCGTTCATCTTCCACAGCCCTTTTGTCTTCTTTACACCTCTCCTCTATCCTCTGAACGGCCTTAGCCTCTGGCCACCTCTGCTCGCATTCCTACGTAGCTCCTGCTCTCGCCTCTGATGCTAGAAGAGAGTCAGGGAATAACACTGCTTATTTTACTTTACTTTTGTACCCACCAATGGACACCTGACACACCGCAGGGCAGAAGCAGACAGCCACAGCTGCCACCACAGTGACTGCCAAACCTGAAGTGAAACCTTTGCCCTTTCGGCAGCCAAGGGCATATTTGCCACTCATTTAAGCAGGCACGCGAGATCCCCGATGGGAGATGGCACGCGAGATGGCTGGCAGCTATACAAGGGACAAATGTCTTCCCGTCATGCTGAGAAGGAAGGGTTTTTCCAGAGCCCCCCATTTTGTTGGAGCAGCATTATGCTTCATAAATGCCAGCTCCACAGTGTTTGCCCAATGCTTGGATTTCATCAGATATTCCTGAGAAGAGACATGCTGGTGATTTAGCAACGCCTCCAACACCAGTGGGTCAGACAGCCATGAAGGCAGCAGCTATCTTGTAGCATCTTAAACAGAAGCAGGGCCAGGACTCCGGATCAGACAGACTCCGAACTGGGAAACACACATGAGAGAGAAATCGAGATCTCCCTTCCCATCTGCTTGGGCTTCCACCACCAAAGAAACCCAAGCCAAATGTCCTTCCTCTTCTGCGCCCAAAGCTCCAGGCACGCTGTCATCAGGAAAGGGACAGAACCCATTTAAAATGATTTAAAATAATTGTGTTCAGAAGTGACACATTTTCCCCAAGGCTAGAGACTACAGCACATGAGAGAGAAATTGAGATCTCCCTTCCCATCTGCTTGGGCTTCCACCACCAAAGAAACCCAAGCCAAATGTCCTTCCTCTTCTGCGCCCAAAGCTCCAGGCACGCTGTCATCAGGAAAGGGACAGAACCCATTTAAAATGATTTAAAATAATTGTGTTCAGAAGTGACACATTTTCCCCAAGGCTAGAGACTACAGTCCAGGTTGTGCTGACAATTTAGCACAGCCTTCTTGCCTTCCAAAGCCTACTCTCTACAGGCACATTTTTTATTTGTGATGAGACACAGAACAATACAAGGCAGCCCCTACATCCTCCAGCCTCCTCCTCTGCTCTTTCTGCTGCTCGATCCGCTTCTGCCGCTCTGTCAGCAGCTGCTTCTTGTATTTCTCCTGGTCCTTCAGCTGCTGCTGCTGGCGATGAGGGTCAGAACGGTTTTTGTTCTCCTGCTGCAGCCTCAGAAATTCACGGCGGAGAGTTGACTCCCCTGGGAGATTAACTATGGAGCTGAAAAAAAAGGGGAGGTTTCTGTGTGACTAAACATAACATTAAAAGGGAGGATACAAGATGTATTGGGAATTGCTTGTGGTCCCGTGTTAGCAAATTAAGATGTTCTGATAGATGGCCAACATGTTGACTATGCAACCGCACTTAGTGTGCTACAAAACAGTCTGAAGTGGATTACTGGGTCCTTTGTTTGAGAGGTTCATCCCTACTGCAGGGGAACTAAGCAGCAGCCTGTTACAGGCATCTTATACTTCGCAGTTGTATTTGGTAGCTACAAAACAGTTAGAGCTACCGAGGGGACACAGGAGGTAAGGGATTCAGAGCAAGTTAAGACAGCCATTCTGGCTGAGGAGCGCTGTCTTCAATGAGAAAAGCCTGGGTAGTCAAATTTGCAACTCCAGTAATAAAATTAACCTCGGCTCTCCTTCGTCTTCATTCAGCTCATCATCTTCCTCCTCACTTCCACTGTAATCGTAGTCTGTTTCTTCTAAAAAAAAAAAGGACAGTAAACAAATCCCAGTGAGGAAGGCTGTTATTTAAGATATGATCTTGAACTTTGCTTCTGAGCACTCAACCTGAACTGCATGTAGCTCAACAGGAATTTAAAAGCCACAGATTGCACTGGGAGGCTGAGGGGAGGCAAGATATCCATGTACATAATTCAAAATCTAGTTCAGCGAATGTTTCAGGGCAGCCCCTTTATGCACCCCCACCTTTTCCCTCGACTGAGTGTCTTGGTTTTGTAAAACTAACCTATTTTCATGATTTGAAATAAATTAGGCTAAACCCACAGAGAAATCCAACCCCTGTAACAACACTGCAGAGGGCTTCTTCAGAAAGAAATTTAGATAGGACATAAAAGACTTGTAGTGCCCTGCTCTGCTGTTGCATCCCTGTTGTATGGCTAAGCTGAGGCCTTCAGTAAACCCAGGTTTCCTTTCGTACTGAAGTGAATAATTAAAAGAAGAAACAGAGATAATAAATGAATGCTATTTTTAGTACACTGGTTCAGAGAAACTGCCCCACACTCTCAGAGTTCTCTTCAAGACTAACATGAAGGCAGCTTTTAAGGGATGCTTTCAAACTGGTCCCACTCTAGCATGCCATATAGGCAGCAATATAAAGCAGGGCTTAATTTTTTGAAGAAGACACTATTTTGAAGAGTGCAGTCTGGCAATTTCACACTGTTCTCCCTTTCAGGGGAGCTTTGATTAAAAATAGCACTTTTCAGGTCAAAACATAACTATCTATCAAGAACTGATTGTTATCATAGCATTCCTCCAGCTCCCAAGGGCATTTGTGAGAAACTCAAACACGCTATCTTTCCATTCAAAAGTGCTTTGAGATTCATAGCCGAAAGAGGTGGTGGAATTTGCAACTACTATTGGAGTCAGTAAATCTACATTGCAACAGCAATTTCGTTTTAGGCACAAATATTCCAACTTGGAGTTTACAAGTCCCTTTCCAACTGTAGAGTGCTTCCCAAGTTTGCCCTCTAAGTCACTGCACTTCACAGTGTTCCTGCCTGTAAAAAACATACCGAAGATGACAAGGGGAGAGAGGGCAGAGAAAATTGGTGGTCAACAGGCTATGGCTCCCCACTCTGCACAGCCCTTAGACTGCTGTGCACAGGCATTTACACAAGTGTCATCCTCGCTCCAGCACTACTGCTCCCAGGTTTTTCTCTGAGTAAGGCCAGCATTCGGAACAAATGCAGATGCTCTCTTTTTCTTCAGTCGCTGTCAAGTAGGTGATTCATTATACCCGTCTGCGTTTTGCTGGAGCTTAGAGGTCTCTGCCGTGCACTCCACTGCTCAAAGAGCACTTCTGCCCCCAAAGAACTCACAAGCTAAAATTAATGGAGATGCAACAGGTAAATTAAATGGATTGGCGAGAGTTGTATGAACTAAGAGACTAGGAAGTGCCTGCTGAGTACTCCTTAGAACTACTCAGTACTACTCAAAAAAGAAGGGACCTAGACTTTACTTGGACTCCTCACTCACGTTAGCATTAGGGTTGCTCTCAATGAATCAGGGTCAGTCAGGCTCCAAATACTTTAACACTTAAACCCCATTAAAGGCTTGGGCTTTGGAAAAGAGATCTTCAAAATGGCCCCACCGCTATCAAGGACACTTTCTCACAGTTTTCCTCATTCCAGTATTTCAATCTGCCTTGTACCCTGCTGCCAAAATGGGAAGAGAACCTACTCTCTGCAGCATTTTGGGTTTTTTTTTGTTGTGGTGGTTTTTTTTTTTTTCCCCCCACATTACCTTTTTCTCCTTTTTTCTTCCTGGTCCTGTCCAGGTGATCTTTCAGCATGATGCGCACTTGCCGTTCGTTCTGCATGTCTCGGATGAAGGAATGCTTCAGCAAGGTTTCAGTGGACGGACGATGCAAATAGTTTTTCACAAGGCAACTTTCAACAAAGTTTAGGAATTTCTTTGACCTGAAAGATAGAAAAGTGGGGCAAAACAATAATCCTTTTTTAACTTGTGCACCAAGCACCACCCCTGAGTGATGGAAAGCGCTAACTTCGCAAGGTTTCCTCTTGCGCTGGAACTGCGCGAGACAATTTGAGTTTTGCCACCAGTGCATCTCCTGAAACCAGCCCAGCGCCGAGGGTGAATGATGAGGAGCTGCATCCCGACTGCCATCTCAGGGAGTTACCCTGAATTTGCATCCAGATCAACAAAACCACAACCTTGCCAATGCAACTCTTGCAAAAATGGCCTTACCCTTTTGATATGGTCAAGATTTTCTTTCTGTGCTTCACTTCAAAAGACAAACTAATTGTCTGTAGGCCACAGCGACTGCCATTAGCCCACAGGGTCCATGCAGTCTCCTGACACAGCACTGACCCTACCTAGGCCTTGCCTACACTGCATTTCAGCCACCCATTCCAAACTTTTGCAGCTGCAATGTCTGCTGCAGTTTAGGCAGAGTTCAAAATAAAGGTGTTGCTTCCCAGAGGTAAACTATACCTGCATCTGTGGCTTAACCCAGCACTAGGAACAGCCTAGGAAAGCCCTCACAGACCACTGTAGGATTTAACCAGATCATTGTCTCCACACAACAGAGCTCAAAATCCTCCTAAGCCCAATGCAGCAAAAATACAGTTTCCACACATCTCTTTACCATTTTCTGGATTTCAACTTTGGGGGCGGGTTCCGTGGGATGAGGAAGAGTGCTCTCATGGGGTGCATGTCACACAGGGCTGCAAAGGAAACCACAAGCTATTGAAGGGTGCATGTCCGTCCCCCCACGTGTCCCTCCCACAGCCTGACCACGCTGACCCAGCCAGGCCAGGAGCCTGGCTCTCTGGTCAGGGAGGAGCAGTCCTCCACAAATACTCCCACTTCCAACAGCACAGCATCCACCGCAGAACCGCACTGTTAGGCAATGAAATTCATACTTCAGACAAGAAATAAAGTCTCTGAGTACACAGAAACCTTTCACGACAATATGCTGTTATTGCCAGTTAAAAGAGATTTGAAAGAAAGGCTGCATGGCAGGAACAAGTACAACTTTCTTCATATTTTTTATATATAAGGCTTCAGAAGGACATAAAAAATGCCCACCTAATACACCAAAGGGTACTTCCACATAAATAGAAGTTAAGGTTGGGATTGAAATACTTACGTGGTTTATTAGGTCTGGCTTATGGTTCAGATAAATGATAAGCTAAATTTTAACGAGACTCTTAGCTACATCGTTCATGGCATAAGAGAAAACACAGGATGAAGAAAACCTGATGCAAAGCTGAGAGCTCATAAACTGTGTCACTGGCACTGAGCGTGATGACTAAGCACGCATTTCACCATTCCTGTGTGTCAGGAGTGTGAGCACCATTATCAGACAATCTGCGCCAGATTCTACTCATGCGTTCAGATGCTGGTTTCCATCCAGCCCAATGTACTTCTCTATAGGGCTACTGCTGTGCAAAGTTGAAACCACAAAGAATCTGCAGAAATTAAATACCGTCACATCTCATCTACCCCAGGCATTCGGTATGGAATTAAGAGTGTGCCCCATCTGTCGAGGGGAAGTATCGAGGGTCAGATGTCCTCCTTCACAAAACAGAGCAGCTGAATGACAACTGATAGGAACTATATGGACACTGATTTCTTATGGTATACAGGTGTTCAGCAGTGATTCTCTTAACAGGAAGGGACTTAACAAGATTACAGATCTAGTAAAAGAGAAGACTCTAGTCTGGTAAAGCCTTCACTGCCTTTCAATAATTTCTTTGCCTGCATCCACCTGCCATTGTTTCTCACATCTGGGTTCTGGTTTTGAATTTTTCCTTCGTATTTTCAATAGCACGGGACACAGTGGGGATGGGGGCAGGAGAAGTCTGGTTCTAGCTATGGGTCCCAGACACTGTTGTACCACAGTAAACAAAACACAATGCAACAGAACATAATCCACAGCGTTTCCCTGTCAAAATGAGTGAAAACATCCAATACAAGTGGCATGAGGAATTAGCATGCAAAACTATTAAGCGTCTCTCAAAGAAAACTCCCCATGGACTAATGCTTCAGGACTAAGCTTCAGCTAGGCTGAAGCACTTTCTGAAAGTGCTCCCGAACTCCAGCTGGCTCCTGAGCACTGCTAAAACCAAGCCTGACGGGAGAACAGCCAAGTGTGTTTTTTAAGAACACAGCCTACGTGCTCTCAAACTCAGGCCAGAGTATAATTTATTTCGTCTCCTGTGCTCTAAGCAGTGACCGGATACCCCACCACATCACATCTGCTTTGCGGGCGGTGGGGCGAAGCAACCGGTCCTCCGCGGAAACACAAATGGCACGCATCCACACTGCGGGCACTGACCTCTGCCCGACGGCTGCGAGAGGCTAACCGGAGAGCACGCGTATTTCTCAGCTGTAGAGCTCTAAGAAAAAAGTTTTTGATTCCCTAGGAAATGAAGGCAAGGAATCAAAATATAGACTTAAAGCGTGTCAAAGCAAGAGGAAAGCAAAAAAGCACAAATAAGAAAAAATTATAGATTCTTTTTAAAGATACAGCCAAAACCAGAATTTTGTACATCCATGCATTAGTCAAACGTGAGTTATTTCAGCACAGAACATGTTCACAAAGCACAGACACCCCCCCTTGCTACCAAATCACTTACGAGGAGCTCCTTCGGCCATCTCAATCGCAGTGATTCCCAGAGACCAGAGGTCACTCTGCAGGTAAAGAAACAATGCATGTTGCAACTTGCAGCATTCAAGCTTTTTGTTTTCAGTTTTGTTTTTACAGTTTCCCTAGATTTCTCCTGGATCAGGTCCTTTTAGTTGGAGTAACATACACTCTGCTCCCTCCCATTCCCTATTGAGCTTTTAGGAAATGTGCTAATAGCCAGAAGCTTTCCATTTCCCATGCAACTCTGAACAGCTGACTCATCATTTAAGCAGCCAGTACCAAAATGCAGACCTTCTGCAGTCAAAAAAACAAGAGCCAGAATATAGCAGGCACCATTTAAATATATGTCTTAAATCTTTTAAACTGTTTTCATGAGGCAGTGAGAGACAGCAGTGCCTCACATCCCTGCTTCTGGCCAAAAAAATTCTTGGTCTTAATGCTAATTTCAGAGCAGTCACTGCTGAGTTTCTACACTGATGGAACAGAAATTATAGTCAGGCCTTGGGGTCTGACTTTTTCTGCCTAGAAAGTCTCCAGTCACATGTTTTTGGGCACATGAAAAGAGAGCACATCATGCAGCCAGATTTACGCCACAGCGTATGTTCAGCTCGTTTAACTCTGAGTGGAGTTTCCCTTATCAGCTTACCTGGATGCAAGGGGCCAGGTTTTGACCACGGAAGGTACATCGGAAACACTACCAGTGACTGCAAAAACTTCACAGGTTTCCACTTGATTAATCATGTGCATTATTTTACTATTTTTTGTGTCTAAATGTAGCCAAACGAGAGGCACGTGACCAAACCGACTTCGAGGGCTTCACTTCTAAAACCAACTTTTAAAAAGGGAGCAACAGAAGACAAACCTTCAAAGATCAGAAGCAATACACCCCTAGGTGAATAGCAGCTCATACCCAGCCTGGTGCTATCCAGATTTGACTTCATCCACAGAGCCTTCTCAGCCCAGCTGCCCTGAGCTGCTTTACGCACGCTGAAAACCAGTTTGCATCACAGCTCGTGCAGGGATGTGACAACAAAACTTGTGGAATTTAATAGACTCACGATCCTGACTTTTTAGTAGGTAAATGACTGAACACTGGAAAAGTCTACTAGGGCTAGTACCACAGGTTTTGGGGACAATGACAGAAACAACCAGGCTACAAAGAACTTTTGGTTTGGAGTTTCAAAGCGCGAAAGGCAGATGGGTGAAAGAGAGGATCACAGCAGAGTTTGCAAAGGTCAGTGTGTATTTTTGCTCATTTGTTGTAATTTGTTTTTTTGTTCACATTTGGAACAGTAAGAAGTTAGAGTGGCTTCCTGCTACTTTGCTCATCATAACAGCTATAAATCCCTGTAGAAGAGCCCGGCCCCATGCCACCTTCTGAGTCACAGCACAGACTGCGTAAGTGCTTCCAAGACCCTCCACTGATCAGGTTTAAACTACCATCTGCAGAATCTATTCGGAAGCAAGACCTAAATGCACGCAGATGAACTGTGATGATTACTGAAGGCAAAGAAACCTCAAGCATTAGGGGTGCATGTTCCTAATGCTTCTATCTTCTGCAAAGTACATATTCTGAAAAGCAAATCGACTGGGGACAGGGAATGAAGACAAGAGATCGTTTTCTTGAGGTTTGAGTTGAAGATTTACATGGTATGAAAATAAAATAAAATCCAAGAACATTCTTTGGTCATGACTGACACTCCCACAACGTGACCTCACTCTGCCAGTGCAGCACAGAAAGTCTCAACAAGGGAGAATCACAGCCTCTGAATCACTAGAAAATGGAAGCAATAGCAGGTTCTTCTAATAAACATTTCTGATGCCACAATTAGAATGAGAGGTGCAAAGTGACAACCAAGAGAGCACCGTAACCAAGAGACTGGCTGAAGGGATGCTCAGAAGATGGCTGCTCCAAAAGGCATCCCTGGAAAACATCCTGCATAGTAAGAGTAGGCAGACAAATAACAACACTGCTGGAAACAGGCCAGAGGACAAAGAATAAGCTTTGTAAGTCTCTTTGGAACAGCATCAGCATACTGTAAGAGTTAGAGGAGAACCAGAAAAAGTGCTTGACAGCTGTTCTCAAGCTCCCCAGTACAAGGAAGTCATGGACCTATTGGAGTGGGTGCAGTGAAGGGCCACAAAGATGTTTAAGGGACTGGAGCTGGGAGGCTCTGGGCTGAGAGATGGAACTGTTCAGCTGGAGAAGGGAAGGCTCAAAGGGATCTCATACATGCCTACAAATTCCTGATGGGAGAAGAGTAAAGAAGACCAAGACAGACTTTTGAGTGGTGCCCAGTGACAGGACAAAAGGCAGTGGGCACAAACTGATATATAAGAAATTCTGTCCCTTCTCACCTCAGCCACCTTACAAATGACCAGAAATCAATCCGGGATGGGAAACCTCTTACAGTCACATGCTCATAAATGAGTGAAGTGACACTAATTGTTGCTAATTAATCCAGGATTCACACCTAAGTACACCATGAAACAGCTCTGTCGCAGAGGGGAGCAGTAACTTCTCAAAGTAGTATTATATTACTTAGAGTATTCCTTCCAGATTACTTCTGACTCTTTTCTATCCTGACCTGTAATCTCCACAGATCAGTATTTTCTTTGCACAGAAGTTCATAAAATTCTCTAATGTATAAACAATTCAGAAAAAAAATTTTCATAATGAAACTCCACTCGCCACATATTATAATTACTTCTATTTGTACAGTTGTAATATTATTGTGGTTTAAAAAGACAGGAAGTTTGAACTTTTCAAATGCAAAAAAACCAATAACCAGCATATCTACCTTATGCAGAGTTGTAACACTTACCCTGTAATCATATGTAGAGTCTGGGTTCTCCTCGCAAGCAATGACCTCAGGTGCCATCCAATAAGGTGTGCCAATAAATGTGTTTCTTCTCCCAATAGTCCTATCTAGTTGAGCACTTACGCCAAAATCCACTGAAAAGCCAAGCAGAGATAAAGGAACCAATAGAGAGTTATAGCCACGTGGCAGAGTGTTTGCTTGGTTACTTTCATCCTGTTTAGAATACCAAACCTTTGACCTACAATGCATATCACATCTGAGTTCCTCCTGTACATCTTTTCCAATAGTTGAAATTTAACTGCCTTTTTTTCTTTTTGAGAGAAGAATCAAACAAAAAGCATGCCAAATCTGCCAGACAGGTTACAGCAGACATGAATTGCTCTAGGAAGACATTGCAGAATAATTTCTGCTTAAACTAAATGCTACATTGAGTAGGACTCGAGATCTTTAGATAATAACTGAAAGGAAAATTAGTATCTACAGACAAGGCAAATTTGGATGTATCTAATATGGCCATTGGTAAAAGCTGAAAAGAACTATCATATCATTTGATTTTGAGGTGTTTGGAGTCACTCCTTCCCTACATTCATATGCTATCTCAGAACAAGCTGGAGAGCGTACTAGTTTATTCCCATCTTCGACTCATAATGAGAGAATCGTGTGGTGCTCTTGGTGCTGAAAAAGGTGTTACTTTCATCAGAATTGTATAGCAAAATGGTTTTGTTCAGATATGGAGAAGGGCCCATACAACCAATAATTACGTGGTTGTATCTTTCTTCGAACAAACCTCTAAGATACACTAATTGGATCCACGGGGCATAGCACTTGAGCGCTATTCACAAAGAAGACAAAATGACAGGGAACAGAAAGGACTGAAAGGACACAGCGCTATGGCTACCTTCAAGGAACATATTTTCTCACTTATGTTACCCCGTTGCAGATCATCTGCAAACCACAATCATTTGCACTACGGTAATGACGTGCCTGTTCAGCAAACCTTCTCCAACAGTACGTTGGACCTGACCTGTGGGATCAGCATATGCTCTGTGCTTCTGATTGCCACTGAAGTGCAACGGGACTGCACTAAGGACCTCTTGGGTTGCTAGCTTCTTTGCTTTAGGATACACGAGCTAAATCTCTCTGGGAACAACTTCTTTTTTTTTTTTTAAATTTTACTTCGTAAATCCGTTTCATCTTTACCCATCATTGGAAAGATTGAACGTTTTTGTCAACCATGTGAGGAATGGTGGGACTAGTAACTATGCGAGACTGTAAAACCACACAAGCCCATCTTTTAGAGACTACAAGCAAAATCCTGCCTTCATTAATCACAGAATCATAGAATCGTTTACGTTGGAAAAGACCTTTAAGATCACGAAGTCCAACTGTTAACCCAGCACTGAGAATCAAAACCTATCATTTCATGATCGCTATGCCCAAGACAGCCTCCAACCACCACATCACCCACAAGTCCTTCTCAACAACAGGTCCAGTGGGCACCTTGTCTAGCTGGGTCGCTCACCAGCTGTGCCAGGAAGGTCTCTTCCACACACTCCAGGAACCTCCAGGACTGTTTCCTCTCTGCTGTATTTTATTTTCAGCTGACATCTGTTGAAGTCTCCCACAAGAACACGGGCCAGTGACTGTGAGACTTCTCCCAGGTGCTTATAGAACATTTTAGCTGCCTCTTCATCATACCAGACTCCCACTATACCTGCCTTGTTGGCCTTCCCCTGATTCTTACTGATAAACATTCAATCCTTTCATCACCATCATTATTATAGACAATCAAAACACTCCCTAACATAGAGGGTTACTGCCTTCTCCTTCCCTGCCCGTCCCTCCTGAAGAGCTTACAGCCATCATTGCAGCACTACAGTTGTGCAAGTTGTGCATGCATTGTTGTAGATGCACTTCAGTTGGGCTAATGATCCCACCACCTTTTTGGGAGGAGAAGCCCTAATTCCTGTGTGACCATTCTCACGCGTTTCCATGTTTTCTAACGCATCAATAACCTTGGCATCTTTTCTGCTGCATGCCCTGGGATGGCAGACCGATAATAGAACAGCAAAACTCCCTTTGACTTCAGTGAAGCTGGTATTTTGCCATAAGGTTAAACCATAACGAGACTTAGAGTACTTATTTTTACTCGCTCCAGCCAAACATCCTACCCCACATCCACAGGCCATGTTTATTATTTTTATTCTCCAACCCTCCAGTGAATTCTTTCAGTTAAAAGAGAGAGGAAGCATAAAGAAAATCCCAAATAAGAAAAGTGCTCTCCTCGAGACTGGTCCTTTAAATCACTGCCATGCATTCTCTATGATGTCTTCCCAAAACATGAAAGACATCCCCTCCTCAAGAGAGATATGTGCTTAAGTTTAGTCTTAGGAAGTCAGAAGTTGTCAACACTGCGATGTCACAAGTAGAAAAGGAAATAGGTAATCTCTCCAACATTTTTGGGAGATTACTATTAATAAGAACTATTCTTCAGTGGTAATTTCACCTACAGTCAGATTTATGAAAACCTCTAAGACCGCTTCCCTTAAGGAAATGGATTAGCACAATATATTCCCCCAAACTTTTTTATTTTGGAAGTCTTTGCATGCCAGGACCTGCTGTGAAGGCCTGATGGTGCTGTGACTTACTAGACAGGTTCTGTGTTTGACTGCCCAGAAGTAGCTGATTTCCTCACAGGCTGAGAGTGACATCCTTGCAGAACATGTCACGTTTTCAGCTCTGTCTAATTGACAGACACCTTATAAACACAGGCATTAATGCTACTTGACATATTTGTTGCTCTTAGGTTCTTTCCAAGACAAGACGGAAATCTTAAATTTTTACGAACATGTTTCCAGCATCCATTTAAGGAAACTTACCCAGTTTTACTTCTGCGTTTTCTGTGAGAAGAACATTCTGTCCTTTAATATCTCGATGGATGACATGATGAACATGAAGATGTGCCAAACCCTAGAAGAAAACCAGACTTCCCTTATTCTTTCTTCCTCTCATTGTCATGAGCATGCCACTGTCCCGTTTTTACACTTTTACCCTTCTCAGACTTTATTCACAGGTCAAGTCCTTTAGATAGTATTAGCAACATGAATATCCCAGTTTTGGGGATGAGAAAGGACAGCAACCCCAAGTTTGATTGTATTACCCACCAGCCTGACAGTAGTGGAGCATCTCCAAAGTCAAGTGTAAAGACAAAAAGGTAGCAATATTTTAAACTTCTGTTTCAGAATCATTATCCTATGTGTTAAAAGCAAACAAAGAGGGAGAGAGCAATGCAGAATGCTCAGTATGAGGACCAGAGACCGCAGCTGGCTGGCTGCAGTGGCTTAAATTCTGCAATCAGCAAAACCGTGTTCAATGGTAAACAGATCACACAAAGTGATTACAATCTGCAGTCTCATGCCAAACCCTTGTAAGATGGCCAATGTTCTCTGCTGAGCATGCTCAACTCCTCTGCTCCAGAAGCAAAGATTTACCCCTATTCAAGCATTACCTTGGCATGCCATTTGAATTCTAGCTCCCAGAATACACATTTATCTTACCATTATTTAGAAAAGAAGTACAACTCCATTACAAGGAAGATGGATCAGTAACTCTGTAATGGGTTTTGAATTTAGAATGACAGGTACCAACATTTTTTTTCCAGGCTACTTCACTAGACTACACTTGGGAATTGTTTTATCCCCTGTACTTTCTGGGAACAAAAAAAAACCAAACCAAACAAACAAAAGCCCTAGGCTTGCACAGAATGAAATACAGCCCCAAGAATTACCTTGGGGAATATTGCCACAGCACATCCACCTTTAAGATTCTGGAATGCTGTTTAGTCAACACTGCTTCTAATAGTGTGGGAGAGAGGCCCCTGCATGTGTGCAGGTAAAGGAATTATGAACAGAAAGATCTCACACAGCATGAACAGCTGAAGCAATGAGCAGTAAGATCTCCTGATGTGGAGGACAGACTTACGGAAAACAGAAAATTTATTTACTTTCCTAGATGCCCAGAATCTGGACTTTCAGAAGATGGATATTTGCCACAGGGAATAGGAATTTTCTGTTTGTCATACAGAAAATGGCCAAGCAGCCATCATGCTGACTCTGAACCCAAGGACCACAGCCCATGAGCCCCACGGATCAAAACCTTGAAACAGGAATGCTCATTAACGACCCATGTTGGCGATCAAAGGCTTGGAAGGGCCTTTTTTGTTGCAAACAAGCAACAAAACTCTGATGGCAGGACTCACCCTGAGAACCTCTCTGCAGATGTATGCAATCCAGTCTTCCTTGAAACAGTTCCCTTTTGTCTTCTTTACCAGGTCAGTGACAGAGCCCGCACCGCAGTACTCCATCACCAGCTGCAGCAAGACAAGCACAGTATACCTTTACCACAGCCCTGACAGTGTGCCAGCAGAGACACCACTTGCAAACACCCATTCCACCACAGTCAAGGTGTGGCAAACTACACGCGACCTTCCCGGATGCCAAGTGACATCAAATCTCATCTCCTGAATCACACAGGTTGCAGAATAAATAAAAAACCTCAATAATGTTCCTCTCCTATTGCAGGTTATGGGTGATTCTTTTTTATTTTAGAAACTACAAAAATCACAAAAAACAAGAGTTAATAGCACTGAAAAATATGGAATTTTTTCAAACTTAGAGATTTCCCATTTTGCCGCAGAGCTTCAAAAATCTTGCAGCCAAAAAAATTGGAGAATTCATTTTTCTTCTTTGCTTTATTGCCAATTCCTCTGTTCCCTTTTTTATTTTCCAACTGAAAAAAAGGAGAGGAAAGCAACAAGAAAAAGGAGAGAAGAAGAAGAGGGCAAGCTCTCTTTCACTTTCATTTAAAAAAAAATTACTAAGACATTTAATTTGGGAAAAAGAAAAGCTTGAACAACAAATCAGAATGACAGCACAAGTCACAAGTATCGTAACATACTTTATGCCCATTCTCAAAGGAAATCACAGGGGATGGCAGACATCTAGGGAAGAGCAATTTTTCTCTTTTATATGTTATTCTTCAGAACAATGACTTCAGAGTTTCACTTGGAGTCCAATCCAAGCATACTGGAGCTCTACAGAAAGGGGCTGTAAATATGATGAACAGAAATGACACTGAACACTTACCCAGAGCTGATCATCTTGGCCCGCAGGACTTTTCTTTACAAATGCACCATAATATGTAGCAATATTCCGGTGATGGGAGTACTTTTTTAACATATTTATCTCCAGCTTGATTTCCTCCTCTTCATTCTGTAGCAAAAGAGAGCAGAGGACTCCTTAGGTGACCAGAGATCATCTAGCTCCAGGGCTGCCCAGACCAGCAAGGCAACCTCTGTCTTTGGAGGTTTCTGACACGCTGCTGGAACCAGCTCTGAGCAAGCTGGCTTGATCCCATGGCCAACCCTGCTGTGAGCAAGGGATCAGGCCAAAGACCTCCTGAGGCTCCCTCCAACCTGAGTTATCCCATGTTTATGAGACTGCAAGGGAAGGACAGGCTGCCAAACCCACGACTGAATCACCTTGATCCATCAGCCTAAACCAATGAAATGCTAGGGTTTGATCTAAACAAGCAAAGATGTCCTGATTTGGGTATAACAGTCACATATTGTCTCCTCAGGGGACTCAGACAGGACCTATTACCCCCGTTTGCGGTTCCTGCATGCAGTAATTTAGTCTTGGAGAAATTAACCAGCTTCAAACCAAAATAAAAATATTCCTAACACTCCACTACCTAAATACTTGGAAAAGCACTCTGTGCACACATCAGCCAATTTGTCTTCCCAGTACTACGGAGAGTCTTGCTGGGAGGAAATCAAAGGAGGCGACTCCCCACAAATCAAACTCCGGAGCAGCCCAGGGTTAGGATCTGCTCCTTCCTTACGGTTGGGGGGCTACCCCACCCGAACCCCCTCTTAACATCATGCCACTGGTTAAGTCTTCGAGGTGCTGGGGGCTAGCACACCCCTAGACATCTCCTTCCAGCTCTGTTTTCCCATCTTTGTTTCCGTCTTTTCAGGGCAGACGTTCTCTTCTGCCCAGCTCAGCACTGTGCACAGTAAGACAGCTAATGGAAACGCAAGTTTTAATAAATGCATTAAAAGGAAATGTCATTTTTCAGAGAGAACCTCCTGACCTGAAGAGGTTCTCTTGGAGCCTGTTTGCAATGTTGCCACCAAAGAGAAACTGCCCAATACCCAGTGAAATGCATGCAGCTTTTGCTCTCTTATTTGCTTTAATAGGAAATGAGTGGTGCTGCTGGTTGGCCTTGTGTTGGTTAAAATAAATATGACAAAGTTGAAAATTAATTTACCTTGCTGCAAAACATCACTGTCAGCACTTACTAGCTGAAGGGGGGGAAAAAAATAAGAGGCAGCAAGAACAGCTCAGCCCCACAGGACATTTTTCTGCACTTTTCCACTATTTTCCAGTGGCTTTGCCATCAAAGCATTCCTTTAACCATCACAACAGACTGCTTACAAAACCAGCTGGGTTGTCCTTCCTACCTGTAGCAAAACAATAAAGCCTGACAGGCTGAAGTCAAATTCCCTCAAGCATACGCACATGATGCGCCTTATTAAATCCAACCACACAAAAATTATTCTTAACAGAACAGAAGGGACCAATAAGTTTTCCCCAGTAACATCAATTCACAGGAGACACGTTACCAGACCAAAGCCTAATTGTCTTAAGCTTGAGGAAATGGGAAATGTAAAATAACCCCACTTGAAGCAGAATGAGCTATTTCAGGTTTCAAAACAGCCCCTTTGTTGAACACAGGCTCTCAAGCTGCACACATTACACTATTTCATTTATCTTTTGTTTGCAATTAAGGAAAAAAGAGGGCCCTTAATCCTTGGCTTGATACAGCCCTGGATGTTGTATGAGCATTACTGAGGGTAAGGAGGAGCCTGGTGCAGCACCTGGAGTCTCCAAGAGAAATCAGAGCCGACTCTGGACAGCAGGTAGGCAATCCTCCACAAGCAAGGTCCTACTTCTCTCTGCATGTGGCCAGGGCACAAGTCAAAGGGAGCGGAGAGATCCTGCTGATGCTTTCAGCAGGGGAAAACAAGGCTCTACTCTCTTTGGGACTCCAGATCCCACAGATGAAAGGGTAGAAACAGGCAGGTGAGGAGGAAGCAGAAAAAACACACATGGGAACCACTATCCTAGACCTGACCACAAGGGTCCTGTCACTGGTAGAGTTTCTGGTAACAGATTTTTGGGGAAGAAAGGCAGAAAGTGGGACAAACAGGGAGGACTTCTTTCCTTGCTCTGCTGTCCCTCCTGCATCCTGCTTACTCCTTCTAGGGCAACAAAACACGTGGAGGTGCAACATTAATCTTCGTTAAAGGCCTTCCCCAAATTGCTTAGGATCTCTTCAGATCTTAAGGTTTTGGGTTTTTTTTTAAGTCTGCCCATCTGCATGAACTTTGCATTGGTGGAGCCCAACTGAAACGTTTCCCTGCTATGGCCCCCGCACCAGCCTGCAGCTTTCACAAAGCTCCCCTCGGGGAGCTGGCAGATCTCAACCACTTCCCCAGAATGAATGTGTGAATGTGAGCAATTCTGTCCCATGGGCCCTGCCCGAGACCCAGCCAGGAACTGAAGCTGGACTTGCCAAGTCTTAGTCTCATATGTCCTTCAAGCAGGGTGACTGGGGACAAAAGCAACCTCAACTTTTCAGTGCATGCACATGCTCAGGATTTCCACTTTCCACCACCCCTCTGGCAGCGTTACCATCAGCCACATCTCCCAAGGGTCTAGAAACCTGCCCATAAACCATGCTGCTCGCAGATGTGCAGGTGCAAAAAGCTGTTTGCTTTCACAAACCAATGCATTTCTGGATACAGATGGCTGCATGCACAAAGATGACAGGTTCATGATCAAAGGCTGTTTTTGAAGATGTGGGTCTATGTGCAATGACATTAGGAAGTGAAGAACTAGAAAGCACACGCCTCTGACCTCAAATGGAAAAAAGATCATCAGCTGATAAATCCTCCTGCAAAGACCCCTTAGTATAGGGGCAGTTCGAATGACAAGTTTCTCATTTAAATGTTATTTTGCTATCTGGAAATACTGAAAGCAAGGACAGAGAGAGAATGACCTGCTGCAGAATTGCTCCTTGATCACCTGCACTGTTAGCTGAGGAGAAAAGCAGCAAGAATCCAATCTCCTTGCAAGCACTCTGCTTGCTTGCCACCATCAGATCACAGGAAGCAGAGCCTGCGTGGAGAGGCACATGAGCGCACGTTGCCATCAGCTCCCCTTCAACCATTTCAAAGGGCTCCCCCCCCACTCCCCCCACAACATGACACGGCAGCACTTCCTGACTGATATCCAGAGGATCCCACAATGACCACAGCATCCTGCTGCCGCTCTTAAGAAAGCAGCCTAGGGCTGCAGCTCATGACAGCAAAGGGCAGATTTGCTCAACCTTGGTGTGCCCCAGATCTCAGAGCTGAACAATCACAGCTGCAGCTGGTCAGGCAGTTTCTGATGAAATGATTTCTTGCCAGGGGAAGAGAAAAACAAAACAAAAAAACCCCACCACCAAAAAAACCAAACCCACACAATGATTTGGTGAAACATAATCTTTTGGCAGAAATGTATTGGTTATGATGAAATGTTAGCTGAAATACTTCTTAGGTTGGACTTTGCGATGATGATAACATGATGCTGCAGGAAGAGAAACTCACTGCAGAATATCCACATAGCAAGTAAGTAGCTCAGATCCCTAGGATATGAGATATCCTTGTTGAATTCTATCTTCTCCCAAGTCGGACAACGCTAACCTAACACTGAGCAGGCTAGTGACCAACCCACCACCCCCAACCCACAGTGGCTTGGGGCTCTGTCACACTCAGCCACTGGAACTGCTCCACTTTGAAGGAAAGATCTACTGGAGGCTTGAACCAGGGAGTGCTGTAAGCAGGTACACAAATCACAAGGCCAATCCAGGCATTTAGCTCTTCTCCACTTCTTTTTGGAGACGAGTGAAGGGAAAAAGACTTCATTTGTCTTGATTTTACTTTTTTTCACCTTCCTGTTTTCTACCACATGAAATTTTTACTCCCTAAGAAAACTGTTCCCTGTGCAGCGCTAATCAGACCACATAACCACCCGAAGATGAAAATGGCCACAGGGGCTAGGAGCCTCCTGTCTCACTCAAGCAGGTTTACTATGACAGCTTCCATTTCTCACAAGCCAAACTCCATGTGAGATGTTGCTCTTACGTGCAATTTATAGGCAGGACACTGGAGACGAGGATTTCAATATTTTAAAGACTTTATTTAATGCCTCAAGCTAGCTTTCCAAGACCAAAGGATCAGAAAATAACTTAAACCTGAGCAGACTAACAATGCAAGAGAAATACTGAATCCTTGACGGGCTCAGACTTGACAATGCAATGCTGGAGATTGAAAGGATTTCTACAGTAGCCAAATGCTATGAAGAAGAGAAAAGCTATTGCTCTTTCACTGGAGAACTTGGCTTCAGAGATGCCCTGAACAGGTGCAGCATCAGCTGTACCCATGCTCCGATCTACTGCAGGAACGCACTAGCTTCAACCACCCCTATCTACTCTGTGCTACAAGAGGCCAGCAGCATGGTCCTTGGCCAGATGGATCAGCTCAGGAGGAAGCAGTTACCCCATTTCTTGCAGCTCTGTAGCTGACCCTGAGCACTCTGAGAATTTGCACTGAGATGTCCCAGGAGTTTGGGGCTGCAGCTGCCAGCCCCACCCCTGCACACAGACACCCACAGCCCGCTGCCCCAGAAACAATTGGGGTTTACCGTAACACTGTGACATGTGGTGGCTGAGGAGAGGACAACCCCAGGGCAGAGCAGACAGCTGCAGGAGGAACTGGCAGCAACCACCTGAATCCCTCCTGCACTGGACTCCCAACATCTGGCAGAGGCACCAGTGAGGGACCGAGGAAACCAGTGATAAAGCAGAGGATGGCATCCAGGCCTGCCAGCCTGTGCCCTAGCAGCAGGAACACAGCCAACCCCGCAGGAAGAAAGTGGAAATACCAGCAGGAAGCCTTGCACTCACCCTGCACCAAGGTCAGAAAGCAGAAACGCTCAAGTACAGCTGAATTGGATTTGTTCAGGTTTAGTGGGGGAAGAGCACCAGGGAAACCCCCTCCAGGTGGCTGCACCAAGATGCTCACCACTCAGCTCTTAAACGGTCACAACTGCTTTTGCACTGAGTGACTCAACATGAAAACAGCATGACCGGTTACCACTGCCCCTCCAGCAATGGGACAGGTTCCCCAGTATGGTGCTGGCTCTCTAGCCTGCAAGGAAGTGGCAATCAGACCTAAACAGCTGGATTTTGTTCCCAGAAGCATGCAAGTTTATCAACCTGAATTCCTGAAGCTGGACCACTAGGTTGTCCTCCATTTAAATTTTGTTTCCAAGTAAGCAGGCACTACTGGATGCTACAGTTCGTTGCTTATACACAAAGGAGACCGTGTTATGTATAGCAAAGGGAAGGAAATATTTCCAAGGTTCCCTTCCTGCAGGTTTTGCTTCAATTGTTTCATCAAGGAAGGGACTGTCACTGGTGTTAACGTGACGGCCCAGAAGTGGCATCTTTGGCCAGCCCTCACGCACTGTTAACTGTCCCAGCAAAGCATGAAAGCCGTCCATACAGCAGCTCTGGATCGCTTCTGAGTCCCTGACAGCATCTGTCCTGTGAGCTCCTCTGCCAAAGCACAGGGGTGCTGTGATCTCAGGAATCTGTCTGCGACCCAAACCCTGCCCCCTTCCCTCCTCCAAAAATCCAGCCACCTCATGTTTGGGACTGCGCATTTTTTAAAGCCAAAGCACCTGATGGTGTATGTACCTACAGAGCTAAAGCAAAAATCCCAGCAACCTTATGTAGCACTCATTTAAGAAATGTACTCTCCTCTGCACACAAAGAGCAAACTGGTAATTCAGTGTATTTCACAAGGCAGCAGCCATAGCCAAACAAGCCCTTAGATGTGCTTTGTAAAAGCATTACAGTAGCATCTAAGTTCAAAAAAAACAACGTGAAATTCCGAACACTTGCTGCTCAGGGCTGGATTCCTGCACGGCAGCAGAAAAAACTGTCCTGGACCTTCCCTACATGACAAGGCCCACACAGACACTGACTTGCTCTGCTGTCTTCCAAGACAACGGAAAAGACACATGAAAATGCCAGCAAGGCTTGCTCACGCTTGCCCAAAACTCCACGTGTAGGTGTGTGTACCACTGGCAGTCTTTGCCCAGGGGACTTGGCCCCATTTTTTATTTCAGGCGATAACCCTCCTACAATATCCCAAGACGACTCTAACTTCACCGTGGAGTTTTGTCCTCCAGACCTACACTGCCAGAGTGACAGAACGGGGAGCCGGTCTTCAGGGAGACCAGGTGCATCCTACCAGACCAGAAGCTTCCAGCAGACTCGGGAAGAGCAAGCAGCAGTCCCCTCAGCCTTTCTGGGGCGCAGGCTAATAGGGGCTGAAGGAGGCAAGCGGCTTCGCTACAGGCTGCGCTCTTAAAAGGAGAAACAAAAATCAATACTTAGCAACTTTTTTGATACCCTGTTCCAGCACTGACACCCCTTTACAGATGTGAGCAGGGCCAGTGCCAATTAAAACGTCTCCTCCTCTCATTTGTCAAATAACAACAGAAAGATGCATTTGCATTTCCAACTTATTCCTGCTTGCAAGCTGTCAGGGTAGCGGATCTGAGGGATGGCTGGCACGCGAGGGAGAGGATGTGAAGAAACACAGCAGGGGCAGCACAGAGCTACAGGAAATCTTCTACTTACTATCTCCGGACACAGATAATCGACCAGAAGTAAGCAGGAAGAGAGATCTCCTCTTTGTTATTACAGACCACCAGAATATACAGCAATGCATTCCCTTATTGCTTTGTCACCACTGGCCAGCTACAACTGAAAAATGTGGTTGTATTAACACCTTTCAGTACTTTATAAAACACAAAACAGTGGTCAGCAACCATAATTTACACCACTGAATTGTCTTTTATAAGCTCTCCACATTCTCATGATCCGATTACTTATTTTTCCTTGCACCTTGATAACAACTTCTTTTCATTTCTGGCTTCGTACTCACCTCAGTGACGTTCATCACCTTGATTGCTGCTAGCTGCCCCGTCTTAACATGGCGACCCTGTCAAAATAACAAAAATACTGTAAAACGTGTGTGCAAACTATGGATACAGGAACAAATTAGGCATATAACTGGGCTTGGGTACTTGCTTTCAAGCACATAACAACCTCCTAGTGATGCAGAACTTCTTTTTTTTTAAAAAAAAGGCTTTTTACTGTGAAATGTCTGGTCTTTAAAATTCTTATTGCAGCTGAGTGAACTGCATCTTCTCAGCTACTTCCCAAAAAGAATGCAGAGACTTTGTATTTAAAAATGTATCTTCTACACTGGTGGGGAGGAGCACTGCCAGGGTTTGACCACGTCTGTGCCTACAGACATACACACATTTCAGGAGTGAAATGCCCACACCCCACAGTCATTATTAAGCAATGGCAGATAACTGGTAATTTTAGAATAGGTAAGTAGCTAGTTTTTGAAAACAAAGCTGGGAAAAGGGAGGTAAATAGGGAATAAAGCTATTGAAAGAAGTAAACTCGATACTGAGACTGACAAAATGCGGTTCACAAGAACGTAAATTAGAAACACAACAAGGAATCTTGCTGTAAACGGCACAACTTCTTGGCTTGGTTAGATCAAGTTGCTCAACAGATGCCGCAGACGCAGACTTTTGCCACGATAACCAACTCCAATCTCATACAGGAGGAGAGTATCAAGAGATGTGTACGAAGAGTGGACTGGCTACACGTGCTAACTCCTCACTTCCATCAAATTTTAAGAAATGGGGTTGAAGGTTTGAGACTGCAATTTTGACGCTGAAGTAGCAGTGCCTGCAAAGCTGTGTATCGAAATAACAAACTGACATCAGTTAAGTAAGCCACAGGAAATCAAATATAAAATGCTGCAGTTTGCAGACAAAATGATTTGCAGGTGCAATTTACACCTGGCAAAATTAAAAGCTGGGTTGATGTCATTTTAAATCCCAGGTCCTATCTGCACAAAATTGCATACGAGTGTTATTTCTAAGACTAAACAATTTTGCATCAAAGAAAAATGATTCCTCGTTCTTGGGCTATATGTCACAGTCATGTTTTCTTTTACAGAAAACTACATCCTGCTGAGTTTTTGTATATTTATAAGTGTCCTCTTTCTGTGGAAGCACTCCTGGGACTGCAAAGCTTTTTCTCATAAACTAGAACGATAGGATTTACATATTATCGCAGACCTCAGGAGGAAGACGGATGGGGCACACCCTCCCCAGGCTCACAACCACTGTGGCTGAGCGCAGATGGGCAGCGAGGAGTGCTATCCCGAAGGATGCCGGTGTTTGGTCAGCATCCATCCCAGCTGACGTCAAACCCGGTTTGCAGCTTCCTCTGCACAGCCACCGCTCCTTTGTTGGAGGCCATTGTTTGCAAATGTTTCCAGGCATTGAATGTCTTGGCAATATAGTGAGAGAGGGCCTTCCACAAGATACAGTCAGCTAGACACGTTGGCACCCTGACTGAACTCCAAAGAGTGTCTGGAGGCAAGCACGCTGATCATGCCTCCGGCCACAACACGTGGCAGGCAACCACCCCAGCTGTACATTCTGCAAAGGTTGATGTCAAGAATCAACACTGATTTTCATAATTACCGTGAAACACGGAGACATGCTTCTTTACTGAAAAAATTAGGCACTACTAGGCTAGCATTGCACTTGAAATTGAATATTCATCAGAATAAGGAAGGGAGAAAGGCTTGGCATTCAGTTTTGATTTCAAAGCATGATCCCTGGTCAAATTGTCCATCTGTGTAACAGACATCTGTTATTCTGCAGCGACAGTCGTTTCCACAGCGTGCAAACCTGCTGCTCTCACTCACTTTTATCATTATAAATAAGAATATTAAATCCCCGCCCTCCCAAAAGGTCTGGAAAATAAGCTTTACGGGAAAGAAAACAGCCAGACCTTTTGTTTTGTGGGTTGCCATTCACCTTCGCACAACAAACGTGTCCCCGTTAACAGAGATGCACAACTCGAGCATGCTCCTGCATTCCTAAAAGCTCCCATCTCAGCAGCTGGGCCAAGTGCTGGACAAGAGGAGCTTGGACTGCACGGAGGGGGTGGGTTCATGCCCTGCGACTTGTCTCAGTGCCCCATCTTCCTCACACCATGCCCAGGTACTACTAGCCCGAGGGAAACCCGTTGGATGGCATCCAACTCTCCCTCTGCACAGGCTCACCCACAATAAATACTCTGGCTGGGTAAAGCAGCCTTTACATGGAAGTAAATTCTGTTAACTACATGCACTTCACACCCTTATGTTCTTTTAGACCCTTTTATGAAGAAAGCAGAGAGCGGTTAAATCTGAACCCTTCTCAAGAGGCCAAAAGGAGCAGTAAAAACTCACTACTGTTGGTTTCCTCCAATTCTCAACTCACAATTTATTTTCAACGACTGTTATCACACCTCTGAAGTGTCTTCCACATTTCTTAGTTTAAGGTGAAGAACCTCATCTTTCCCCACCAGCACTTTGTGCAGGGTAATGCAGAGGGCTGCAGGTTAACCTCATGAAAAGGTGTGAACATACAGATATGTTTACATCTGCCTTTGATCAATTATCTAAAAGGGATGAATTCATTTAAAAGGATTTATAAAAGAGTATCTGGGAGATAGTAGCTAAATATTTATCTACAGCTACATATCTATCTAAAAACATTTTCATCATGAGATACTAATTTTGCTGCCATCTTGGTGGATTTATTTTTGATTACAGTTGTACGTTTTCCCAAAGTAAAGGGCTTATCGTTACCATAGAGCAATACATCTCAAAAGTCTCTGCACCTGCTAATGTATGCAACGAATGGCGTGACAGAATTACACAGCATACACCATCATTTCTCCTTACCTCTTACATCAACCCCAACATACACAAATAAAACTGTTCCTTTAAATACTGCCCAAGGAAAAGGTTCAGTCAGTGCAGACAATTGGAGAACCCTGGAGACATCCTAAATTTTTATTCCTTCTCCTACCCGTAACAATTAGTTATGAAAACAAGGGGCTGAAGCAAAGCCACCCAACAGCTCACCCAAACCCCAGCAGTCCCTGTGAGCAGCGCTTGCACTCTGGCACCCTACTGAGCTTGGCACCACCACCCAGAACAGTCCGACTCCACAGTAGGAGGACTAAAGCTTTCAGGACACACACGTTCATGTGGAGAAGAACCATTAACGCCTGGGCAGCTCGTCTGAGCAGGGTATCATGCTCCACGGTACGCTTGCCTTAATGTACAGACGACGACGGCGCTGACTCAGAACAAAACTTCTCTCCTTTACACTGTTTTTTCAAACTGTTTCGAGTTAATTTTCCTTGACATCTCTAAAAGCAGTAAACATCCTGAACCCAGCCCTGGGCTTCTTGTTAACACATTGAAACTAGTGCCTAAGTAAGGAAAGGTTTCAGGGCCTGGCCCCTTATTTTTTCATTTATCAATAAATCTCAGAGGTTAGCCAGAGTTCATGTGAACTCACACACTGCTACTTCTGCTGAAGCCACAAGGTTGAGAATGTTTGAATTGTTTTGAGAAAGGTGGTTCGGTTTTTCCTTTAAAGCTCCTATGAGCAACTGGCTGTTTTGTTTCCCAACCAAATGAGATCAGCAGATTCACTTACCGCCAGCAACAAAACATGCAGAAGTTCATCCTTCTTGATTTAACGCAAAACGGGAGGAAGAACGAGGGGCACTGCCCGCCCAGCCCTCCGTGCATTCCGCCGCTGCCCATCCTCTCCAGACCGTTAAAGGGAATCAGCCTGTTGTGATTCAACGTCTTCCGTTGCACATTTCACCAGAAACTGGGCAGAGGGCAGGAATGGTCTGTGGTCCCATTTCCCTAATAAAAGGTTTTATCTTTCACTCAAATGCTCAGTTATAGACTAGTTTTCGACTCCGGAGAATGCAGCCAAAACATCCAACAGCCATCTGCAAGTCACCCATATTCCTACCCAAGAATGTAGCATTAAACACTACCAAGCTCATCCAGAGCTTAGACTTGAACAATTCTGAAGCTCAATGACTTTCTAAAATTGAAGTCCTGCCTACATTTTGATGAGGTATCCAAGCTGGAAGAAATTCTCCCATTAGTTTTGAGTCCAGCTAAATTCCTCGTCTCTTCCAGAAAACATTTCCGCATAAAGTCTGCGGCAGTTGCCAGTTAGTCACTACAGCGACATTCAGCAAACCTGGAGCCAGCATACACATTTTTCAAATCTGCATACTGCTCATTGCAGCCACATTTGAGGAAGACGCTTTATGCCAAAGATCTGGTTCTGATGAGCTCCGACCGTGCATTATCTCTGCAGGGAGATATACTTGGAATAGGACAGATCGCTCAGTGTTATTGCTATTGGATGTGTATTTACCTTTTTACCTCAATTAGATAAAGGAACTGCTTATCTATGCTCTCTACTGAGGGTCAAGTCATGTATTTTTCTATTTATATCAAACACGAGTATCAGTGCTAGCGGTCAAGCTATTAGCTGATAAAGGAGCTTTACATGAATTAAGTGTATTTACAGAATTATGTATTCAGTCATGTACAACGCTTTTTCCTGTTAGGTCCAAACAACAGTTTTGGGCAGTCCCTGGCTTGGGCCACGATTACAACCAGTGACCCAAGGTCCCAGTGACACACACCTGAGCACGTAAGGCTGCAGGTCACACGCAGAGAGCTTGGTTTGACAGCTTCCCTCCCAGATCCTGCAGAGACCTCACTTCCCAGGGGTGGCAAACAGCCCCCATCAGCTTCTCTCCCCACTTGCAATCAGACAGATTTGAAGCGGACAATTGCAAGCCCAGACACCACAACCCAGCTGTCCCATTACAGCGCCGTGCACCATGCCAAGGCAGCCCAGGCAGCCCCATCACACGCTTCCTTTTTGGCAACAGGCGCTCATTAACGTCCACGTGTTTCTGGGTCTGTCTGATGTAGCTGTCCCCATTTAACCGCAGCAGGAAAAAGTGCACATGAAGGGCTGGGACAGCCTGCTGCACCAAGGGATGCCATGACACCATGAAGCTGGT